TTTATAAAACTATAAATATTACATCTTCATTTATACAAAATTATTTTTTGCATAATGTTGATATTTAGTTTTATATTTATATACATATGCAGATAAGGCATTGTAAAGGTGTTGTCAGTGGGCATGGTATACAAAGGAAACAGCTGGTACATTGAAACTGACAATAAAAATAATCAATTTAAGTTTGTTTCAATATAATACTTAATTATTAATTCCTAAAAACGAATATGAATTATTAGTACCTACCCTCTTTAAATGAATTAATCAAAAATGACTAATTGTCATAGCGAAAAAGCAGCCACTAATAATTCTAGTCAATAGCAATTTGTTCTCGGACATTTAGCAGTCAATTCCTATGTAAAATTGGCCGCTGAATCCAAAAATGTCAAAAATTATAAAAGTAAAACAGTTTTTAAGATAGTCAATTTTCCATATAATATGGAATTGACTATATCTTAAAATCTCTACTTTCATAAATTTTGACAATTTTACATAAGTACTCTCTAAAAATGAATTAGCGAAAAAGCAGCCACTTATAAATCCCGAACATTTCATTTTCATGTAAAATTGTCCCCTGAATCCGAAAATGTCGTTAAAAATTAGAAAAGTATCCAAAAATGTCTTTAAAAGTTATAAAAGTAAAACAGTTTTTATACAGTATAAAATTTTTGGTAAAAAAAACAAAACCAAAAGTGGTCTATATATATATAGGTCCACACTAAAAATGGTACATACAATTTGGTAAATTTTACCCTTTTTAATTGGTTAATAATCTACACGTACTAGTCGTACAAAAACTCGTAACAGTGTAAAAATCAATAACTAATACACTCTTAGGGGTAAAAGCAACACGCACTATTGGTAAAAGAACTCCATTCAAGAGTAGAAAATGCTCAATTTGGTGTATTTTACTACACAGGTATGTGTAATATGTAGGTGTTAAATATGATTTTTCACTAGCTCAAAAAACTTAAAACTAAATTTTATATTTCACTTAAAAATTACAGGTAAAAAACATGTTTTATCACAAACATAAGTTGCATCTTCGTTTTAAATTAAAATACCATGCATAGGTACACTACCATCCACGGCACTCGAAATACTGATCGCGCCCTTGCCGTTAGCGAATGGTGATGACTACGTGACTTTTTTTACCACAATTTGTGTAGCTGTCAACACATAATAGTGTTAAATGTACACCGCGTCGAGTTTTTCTTTAAATTAACACTAGATTGCAACGGTGCTGTGTAAAATGAATTTAACTTAACACGAATGAATTTTAACACAATTTAAAATAAACACTAGGGTGAGCCAAACAAACGAACCTATCGGATTTATGGGTTAAAATGAACCTACATACCGAGCAAAAAATTTCCCTGCAAGGAAAAGTTTTAGTTTTAGTGATTTTTTACACTTTTCAAAGCTTTCAAACATACGAATTTTTGAATTAAAAAAATAATCTTGGTATAGATTCTTTGGGAAATTTAATGCTCTACAAGAATCCGCGATAAAAAATTTTATCTCAAACGGTTCAAAAGTTATAGTCTTTTTAATGAAAAAAGATTTTTTTACGTGTTATTTCAATGGAAAACTTAGAATGCTCACCGACACCTTTTAAAATTGAGCAAAAAATTTTGCCTTGCAGGGAAATTTTTTGCTCGGTATGTAGGTTCATTTTAACCCATAAATCCGATAGGTTCGTTTTTTTGGCTCACCCTAATAAACACTTAATATTTTTGACCAATTTTAGTGTATATATTAACACCAAATGATTTTACCACTCCATTTGGTAACTTTAAACCGAAATATTTTATGCTGTGTAAGTGTAAATTTTCCATATAATATGGAGTTGAATATAGATCAAAAACTGCTTTACTTTCATAATTTTTGACGGTATTTTCGGAGTCATGGGAAAATTTTACATAACAATTGGCTGTTAAATGGGGATACAATGGTATCCCATTGTTAACCATATTATAGTGAAAAAGCAGCCACTAATAACTGTGGTAACTAGTCATTTTTGACTAATTCATTTTTAGAGAGTAACTTCACTTATTGTACAACCTTATGTAGAAAAGCAAAGCTAGTTTAAATGCAATTTATGTTAAATTTAAAATTGTTTTTACAAACATGTTATTTTTGAAGCAGTTAAAGGTTCACGAAAAGACCAAATAAAATTTAACTTTTCCGAAAGAGACATCAACAGGCAATGAGACAACGAACCTATTTTTAAAAAATATGAATTTTAGGTATTTTAAATTGTTTTTTGTTTTAAAATTTTAGGTCTATGGTGGAATTTTTGTGTAAAATAAGCGTTGTATGACAATTTTAAACGTTTTAACCTAATTTATCATTATTTTTAATCTTGTTGTAGGGTAGCTAGGGACCTGTAACTGGGAAAAATAGTGAAACCAAATTTTTGCTGAGAACCTTCTTAACTTTATAAGCCCATACATTTTGCTTAATTTATTATTTTCAAGTAACATAACGTCATCAAAGACCAGAGGCGTATTAGTATGTTTTTCTTGTTTAGGACATTACAGATTTAAAGCCCCACATCATATAGGCCGTAGGTATGTATCAAAATGAACTTTTTGTTACAGCGTTTTACAACAGTGACTTTTTCATTGCTAAATGACATGCACGCATGCGTAAAAGTGACACTATTTTAATTTATTTTGGTAAATTAAAAATTTAATATTAAAAGAGAAGAGTGTGTCCCTGTTATAATCCCTTGTTAGTCTTCTGCACGTTTCCTATTTATTGGTAGAAAGTAGCTTAGCTTAGTTTTCTGTTTTTTTTATTGTGATTTTTAAATTTATAAAACTGGTGAGGTTTAGGGGAAAAAATCGAGCTTGCGAGCCAGTGCTTAATTAAATTTGTGCCTAGAAAAGTATATAAACGAGTTGCATACTATACTTCTTCTACGATAAATACTTAATATTATCTAAAAAATTATGTAAATTAAATATTTGTATAAAGCGACATCTATACTAGACTGCCAAAAAAATCAACTATTTTTTTTTTGAAAAGTATATCGAAAATATGGTTTGGGGTGAAAAAAAAATTATTGTGAAAGTTTGAGTCCATAATATTAATATTAAGAGGTCTATCATCGCAATTTTAATTTTTTTTTTCCTCAGCAAGATTTTGACTTAGAACTCCCAAACCATTGAATTTAACAAAATTGACTCGAAAATATTTTTTTAAGAAAATTAAATGCTCTACAAAAAAGGTTAAAGTGAAATTTTCCGTCAGATGAACCGTTTCCTTAAAATCCTGCCTTAAAAATTGGTATAGTTTTACATTTTGATCTTTTAAATTGGAATTTTGTAATTCATGTAAAAATCAGCCCCTATAAAAAACCGATAAATATTCTTATGGGAAATCAAATGCTTTACAAAAAAGCCTCTCAACATTTTTGGCTAAATTCACTCAATCAAAAGTTATTCAAGGATAAAATTTCGTTTTGACAAATTTAACCTTGAATAACTTTTGATGGAGTGAATTTAGCCAAAAATGATAAAAGACTTTTTTGTAGAGCATTTGATTGCCCATAAGAATATTTATCGGTTTTTTTTCAGGGTACTGATTTTTACATGAGTTACAAAATTCCAAAGTTAAAAGATCAAAATGTAAAACTATACCAATTTTTAAGGCATATGATTGTAAGAAAACGGTTCATCTGACGGGAAATTCCAATTTAACCTTTTTGTAGAGCATTCAATTTTCTTCAAAAAATATTCTTAAGTCAATTTTGTTAAACTCAATGATTTGAGAGTTCTGAGACAAAAACTTGCTCAGGAAAAAAAAATCTAAAATTGCGATGAAAGACCTCTTAATATTAATATTATGGATTCAAACTTTCACCATAATTTTTTTTGTCACCCCAAACAATATTTTCGATATACTTTACAAAAAAAATAGTCGATTTTTTTTGGCCCAGTGTAATCTATACGATAATAAAGTACCATCCCAATAAACATTTTTGACGTAATTTTCACCATTAACATTGCCCGTTATTATATTAACTAAACTTAACAATTATTGATACTTATAATACTTCGAAATATGATTATGTCCAGAAAATATTTTATCCTTTGATTTTTTTATTACTATAATTGCAAAATATTATCACAAATTCTTACACGGGAAATGTTAAAGGTACAAAAAGTATTGGAATTCTCGTTTCTGGCGTTAAAATCTCAAATTTTTCTGTGTAAATCAAAATTTATCCCTTGAAAATAGAGAATGTTTTATGGGCACAGTGCGCAAAATTTTTAACGCTTTATCCTTAAAACTAACTTCAGCCTGTGACTAAAAATTTGTTGCTCTGACTAAAGCGTCATAAAGCCTCAACTTGTTAATGTGTATTTAAAAAGTCACTTAGTGTCATGAAAACATGTACTATAATGGGCGTTTTAAAGGTGGAAGTAGAAAAAATAAAATCAATATAAAATTTTAGAAATCATGTTTTTAAAGCTATAAACAATATTTTTTAAATTAAAATTTGTTCACGTTTCTTTACAACTTATGATTAAAACATATTTTGTGCTGTTTTTAACCATTAAAAAATGATTACTATAATTAACCCGCATAATAATGCAATAATTGAATTATTCAATAAAAATACCTATACTTATTACACATAGGTACATATAAATAGCTTAAAATATTAATATTTCATATGAAAGCTAGTCGATAATTTAATATTAATCACTACAATTAATCGTAATTTATTTATAACATTCAATAATAATACGGTATAGATTACCTTACATAGGAATAAGCTGTAATAAATTTTAAATAAATAGTACAGTACTTTGAGGCATACATCGACATCTAGATATATTTAATCAAAGTATTGAGGTACTAAAGTGGTACCAAATCTTGCTAAGTTAAATCAAGTAAACTAGGCATAAAACCTCGTTAGTCCGTATTGTGTGTAACAGATGGCGCATGATATAACTTTCCAAAATAATAAGTCGAGTACTGAGCCACTTACATCGGCCAAACTCGTAAATAAACCGACTAGAAACGATTATCTCTATTAATTGCCAGGTGGCAAGCACAGGTGAACGATATCTGTTCGTATCACTTTATGTTAAAACAATACGAATCAAGATAATTAAAAAATTCTGTGATAATACCGGTTTGGAGAAGGCTTTGACAATACAAACAAAACAAAGTTTTAGTCAGAGTTTGCTTGATTTTCGTGGTTTAAAGTGGATATAAACAGAAAAGGATGTCAACTGACAGATTTCACAAGTAAGTAAAGTAAAATTTTATGGGAAGCAGGAAGTAGGTTGTGGAAGTGTAGCGCTTAATTGTTTTAATTTTCATATTAGCATTAAAAAAAACTGTTGGATGGGTTCATAAATAATGATAAAAAAATGTTCGAAAGCTTATCTAATCAGACAATAAAATTCCATTTAGATCAATATTAAACATAGTTCGAATAAATTCTTGGCAATTATAATAATTTGATATAAATATTTCAGTTTAGTTCACATGGAAATAATTAGCGATAAGAGTTTATATTACTAATTTGTTATATGTAAAAAATCCCACACATAAAAGCTCTCCATTAAGAATCAATAGTAAAAATTGCAATAAATTATAAATTTCAAATTTATTAAATTAATTCAAGAATATTCGATAAAAATTTGAATAAAACTCAAAATTTTAATTTAATAGAAATTTTGTGTTGCTATTAGGTGTCTTATTTAACATATTTTCTTTAAATATTAAAATTTTATCTTATCACATTATTTAATAAATATAAGTTAATTAATAAATTATTAAACATTTATCGGCAAGCATGTATATTAAATTGTATCCACCACTTGAAAAGATAAAATTTGATAATTGCTAATATTGTTTAAAGTAAATGTACTTAACAAAATTAATCAATTTATATAACATTTTGCTGAAGGAATCAAAAAAATTTTTAATTGTGCATAAGTATTCGATTTATACATATTTTTTAACAAAATATTTTTATCCATTAGCCAAATATTACACAGTACAACACGATTTCCCTCCCATGAAAAATTTTAGCAGATTTTGAAAATAGAGGTAAAAAAAACGTACCCGTGTCTCACAGTTTCACGAGATCACGTCATAAAAAAATTTTAAGCCGTCATTCCTATTATTTATGCTTATACAGATTGTACATTTTTTACTCGGTTAAAAATATACAATATTTTTGTAAATATTGTATGTTTTTACACAATACAAAAAACAAATATAAAAAAAGTTTATATTTTGATTTTTTTTAAATATTTTTTTTTTTATTTTTTTAATGAAACACATTTTTGTATTTATCATATATTCAATACATGTTGGAATAAAATCTTGGTCGTTTAGTTTGACGATTATACAGCTCGTTCAGACTAAAACCGAATATATCTATATATATATATGGGGCGTGGCCTCGCCTCCCTCCAACGCGCGACACAGTAGCTAAGCAAATAGACTGCATCGCTAATGAGATTTTTTGCATTATTTCCTTTCGTCATGTCGTTTATCACACAAGCAACTGTGACGCGCCTTGGAGAGAGGCGAGGCCACGCCCCATATATATATATATATATAGATATATTCGGTTTTATTCTGAACAGGATGTATATTGCTTCAGAATCTCGAACAATTGACCAGCAATATTCACCCAGCAAATGCCTGATGTCTTTTCCCTTGAAGCGTTTTTCAATTGTTAAAATGTCTTAGTGAAAACGTCCGCCATGTTCGTCACTAAAATCGCCCAAATTTGGTGGAAAATAGTCCAAATGAGCATGGAGAAAATGTATTTTCAGTGACATATGTACTTTCATGTCCTGTGTTATAAAATGTACTTTATAACCCGAACTACAGGGAATAAATTCAGATTCCATCTCGGAAAAAATGGTTGTACTGGGTGTTAAAGGTCTTTTACTTTTATCCTCACATATGTTTTCTGAAGGAGCAGTTGGGTAATCTTCAGATCGCACTCTTGCGAGAATGACGGATTCTACATCGGCGTAATCAATTTTCTTTTCAGTATTGTACCGAAATCCAAAACTTTTTAATTTTGACATGCAGAAATAACACTGGTCAGATGCGTGTTCGGTACGTCGCGACGGGTCGAAGCCAAATTAGCTAAATTAGCAACATATTTCATACTGTGTGTTTTATCTTGCAATCCATGCAAACAACGGTAACAATAATCGCATAAAACCTATGGTACATACCATAAGTTTGGTATATACGTCACCAAAAAATAGTCTTCAAAAGCTGTTACTACACTTTTTGTAATATTTCGCATATGGCTTGGAGGTACAAATAAACCACATACATAACAAAAATTATTTCGATTCGGACACTGCATTTTTACTTTGATTTCAAATGGATGGTTAACTCAACAATCAAAATTAATATGAAAAATTTATCGATTTATCGCTGCAATAATGTTTTTATTTAACATTTAAAAAAAAAGTATTACCCTCGTATAAAGATTGTTTTGAAAACAATGCTTTTTATGTATAAATGCCGCAGATGTGTAAATTTTTTGTTTTTTTGCTGTTTCAATTTACTTTGTATACTTAAATACTTTTTTTACTTAAATTAAATATGTTTTAGGTACACTTGCTTTAAGACTTAAATCAATTCATTTAAATATCTTTTATTTTTTTTTAAAAATGTTAATTCAACAAAGCTCAATTTTTACAAAACTCTGTATAAGATTAAAATAATTTTAAAATGCATCTATAATGGTTGCCTATCCATTTAGTAAATATATATATTTTTAACTATGCAGTCCAGCTGTTATCGAGTCTATTAAATTATGTCGCGAATAGTGTGAATAACATTTTATTGGATAGCCCTTAAAAAAAAATTATGACGTGATGTGAAAAAACGCCGAGACACGGGTATCATTTTTTTAACTCTATTTTTAGAATCTGTAGAAATTTTTCATGGGAGGGACCAAAAATCAAATTTTGTCGTACTGTGTTATTGTAGTTTTACATTGTTGTAAAAATAGTTATTTATGTATCAAGGCAGTATAAAGTCGTATTTTTCATCACGAATGTGGAAATTATTTGCCGAGGCAAATAACCACGTGAGTGATAAAAAATGACTTTAATGCCGAGGTGCATATTAAATTTTATCCGAAATCACATTAAATAATACTAATAATAATTAATATTGATGATTAAATCAAATGTCATTTGATGATCAAATCAAATGTCATTTGAATGTAGGAAGTGTCTACGTATAATGTTTGTTACGACGGTTATTATATGTATATCGATGGTTATTTGACAAAACATCGTAAGCGACAATTTTTTTGAATTACTTTTTATTTTATCAAAGTGTCCGTTACGATAAGCTGCACATGGTAAAATAATAGTTATCCCAATTTTGTAATCTAATATTGGTCAGTTTGAATATTTTTATTATTGTAAGCGCCTCTTCTTTTTAATTTGTTACCGATTTATAACGTAAGCGCCTATATGTTCCCGACAAATAATCGTAAGCAACTCCGATATTTTATAAATTAATTTTTTTGTATTTTTTTTTATTTAATAATAAAAGTAAAAAAATAAATGTCGCTAACAATGTTTTGACAAAAGTAATCATCAAATCTATATCCCACAAAGTAACGTAAATGTAAAACTTAAGGGACAAGAATAATTTTACATTTTCCTAAAGATGTTCTTATAAAATATCGTATGCCACAAAATTTAATGAAAATTTTAGATTGGATTCGATCTTACTTAAATATTTGAATTCTACATTAATAAAATAATGCCTCACGAGTTTTCAGATAAATAAAGCTCCCACACAAAAAAATCTATCCTGTAAAATTTAGGTTTGGTCGCTTACGATGTTTTGTCAAATAACCATCGATATTTGCCCGCCGCGGCGATTTTTTAATATAATTAATAAAATTAACTTATTATTTTTATTAAACAACTTTTATGAAAGGGTCCAATAGACCTCCTTTTTTTTAATATTATTTAGTTGCTGCAGAGGAGCAGTAGACACATCTTAAAATGTATAATGGGTTGCATACAATACTCGCATTAAATCGGAAGTAAATTTCTACTTTACTGCCGATTGTTGACTACTTTACTGCCGATTTCGGATAAAATACATTTTAAAAACTATTCTTGAATTTATTTCAGAGCTGCTAAAGATGGCAAAATTGAAATCCTTAAGGAAGCAACCAAAAGGGATTGCAACAGTAAGGACCAACAAGGAATGACTCCAACTTTATATGCTGCATTTTATGGAAACTTGGAATCATTAAGACTTTTATGTGGCAGAGGGTAAAAAAATACAAAATAAAATCGAAGACCGTTTTTCTTGTATTTTCAAAACAAACGCATTTACTTAAATTGATGGAAATTAAGCCATTTATTTTACTTCACATCTACATTCTTATATATTAAACATTGTTGATAATTTACAAAGAAAAACAGGTTTAAATTATTTCTTAAAACAAATCATTTCCTAGAAATTAAAGCAAGATACGCTGTGATACTTTTAAACGATTCTGCAAGAAAAATTAACGAGATTTAAATGTTTTTCTAATTTTGAGGAAAAACTTATTTGATCTGGAGAAACTAGTAATTGTGATTTAAATCTGGACAATTTTTATAATGATCCTTTAGATAGTTAACAGACATGATCTTTGGCCATATTAAGAATATTATCATTATAACAGAATATTTCACTCATTATTTTTTTTTAGTGGAGATCCTGACAAGGCAGACATTTTTGGCAATACGGCGCTACATCTTGCAGCCGCACAAGGGCACAAACCTATAGTGACTTTCCTAGTAAACTTTGGTGCTAATATTTACTCAAGCGATATAGATGGCAGAACTGCCCAGGATGTTGCAGGAATGAATAACAGAGACGATATTTTAAGGTTTCTGGATGGGGGTACATGCTAAACTTGAAGCTACTGATAAGAAAAAAATGAAAAGTTTGCAGGAAAAAGCTAAGAAGGATGCCAAGAAAAGAATAGAGGTAAAAGTTAAACTTTTAAATTCCAAAAACCTTAACGGGTATTTTACTTGAATATAAAATAAATAATTTAAGTTACGATTTCACGTGGAAGTCATTATGACATCATTTCATGATTTTCTCTGCGCAGTCCTGAGTTCATGAACGCATACAGATAAGTCATAATGGCTTATGTCACGAAGAACTAATGTAAAATTGACCGCGTTTTAAAATTATAAAATCGAAAGGGATTTGGATAAAATTAAGAGCACAAATATATTTTTGAAGTAAATTTATATTAATTGAGCAAGGCTTCTTTATTAGGATCTCTATATATTTCCTGTAACTTTCTTCATTTTCCGTCTTTATTATTATTTGTTCTATTTGTAAAAAAAATTACTTCTGTAAAATTTTATGTGGGAGTTTCAGACTCTTTGGCTTTGCTGTTTCTTTAAGCCTTTGCTTAATAAACCTAAATACCCCATAGATTTGTAGCTTCAGCTCCACGTAATCCCATTTGAAATCATATCATCAATAAGTTTTTCTTCTCAAAAAGTTTATAAAACTACTCGTTTCCCGATAAAAACTAAGGATGTAAAGTTTTTTACGTTACCAAAAGTTCAGGCATATACATTATCCACAAATTACTGCCGTCCACAATCCACATTGTGCTACCGACAACCATATAACCATTGAGTAAAGAACACTTTACTCAATGATATAACACTGAATATATCTTTAAATAAACGATAAAAATTGAACGTAAGTGCACTTGCAAGCGACAAACAAGGTTATAATCAGAAAAATAATATAATAGATTATGATTTACCATTTCCACTGCGCGAATGCTCGAAGCGCAAAATTTACAAAGAAAATTATACACCTTATGAGTTATGAATAATATGATTAGAAATCATGATGATCACGATGACGTCCGTATGACTAAAAACGTGGAAATCATAACTTGATCCTAATTATAAAATCATGGATGTTTTTTTTTTAATGATAACAAAAAATTAAAGACTACGAAAAGACTAAAAAAGTATTATAAAATTAAAAGAACTTATTATTTATTTGAAATTTTATCATTTTGTAATTGGCAATAGGATTATTAATTAATTAGTAACAAAACTCTAAGGTAATTTCCGATTTTTAGATAATTTCCTGTAAATTTAGAAATTTCCAGAAGTTAATTTGATCTAGCGGCAGTATTAAGTTTTTTAATATATTTTATTATGAAAAATATAATAAAATTATTTATCTTCAAGCGTTCTTTAATTTAAGCTTTATTATTGTCAACGCTTACTACCAAAGTATTCGATTATCACCTAGGCTGAAAAATATGTTTTTTAAAACTGTAATTTATAGTTGACTTTTACATTTTATTTATTAATTATCAAAACAAAAGTCTACAGAACTTAAACTCTTTTACATTCGTTGCTATGTACACAAGATACTTTCACATTAGTAAATACCTTTAAATTCGTTTCAAAATTTATTAAATTTTTCATAATAAAATATATTAAAAAAATAAAATTCTAAAGCGAGATCGAATTAACTTCTGGAAATTTCTAAATTTACAGAAAATTATATAAAAAAGTTAATTAATTAATAATCCTATAGCCAATGACAAAAATTTCGGGGTATTAGTTTAAATATACTATAATTTGGCGGCAATTTTTTAATTTATTTAAAAATTTCCTAAATTAACCAACTTTCTTGGAGCAGTGGCGGCTAGTGGATTTTGGGTATACCAATATTTCAGTTATTAGACATGGGACCCACACCAAATTTATAATAGTTTATAATGATATTAAATAGACAAGTTCGGCGCAAACAGAATTTAAATTGAAGTTTGCGAAAAAAAGTTAGTTTTTCTTGTCGTCTCACCCGCCTCCAGGCCCCCCTATTTAAGATAATTCAAATTAAAGTGGTGCAATTTATTATCTACTATAAAAAAAAGTAGAGTAGTAACACCATCAACCTATCCAGCTTACAGGCAAAGCCTATAAGGTTCGGTTCTTCAGCGGGACCTACTGTCAAAGACAATTTATTTAAACATTAATATCACAGTTTCATATACAAACATACATATACAAAGGTAGTTAAGTGACACAACAACTGATTACAATATAAAAATATTTGGTTTCGTTGCTGGATGCTGCGTCCTCGGAGTATGGCCTCTCGAAGACACCGACGGTGGAAGTCGCCCATTTGTACTGTACATTTGTTTCGTTTTATTGATGAATTTGGCCGCCTTCTCACAGAGTGATTCTACAGCGCTCTATTTGTGTGGACCTAGGTCAATAATTGCTGCTGCTGTTTGATTTTCATAATTATTGGAGAGATAATTTATGTAAAATTCCCAGGAAAAATAGAAGAAAAACCTGGTTAAGGTCTCGGCATAGCCGCCTAACCCACTGCGCCACCGAGGCCCCTATCTACTATAATTTATCGACAAATTTTAAATTTTATTTAAAAAATCCAAATATTACAGGTTTTATACCATTTTAAATATTTTTTTATTTTAATAAAATAAATAATAAAAATTTAAAATCGAATAAAATCTGTAACATTTGGATTTTTTAAATAAAATTTTAAATTTGTCGATAAATTATAGTAGATAATAAATTGCACCACTTTAATTTGAATTATCTCAAATAGGCGGGTGAGGCGACAGGAAAAACTAACTTTTTTTCGCAAACTTTAAATTCTGTTTGCGCCGAACTTGTTTATTTAATGTCATTATAAACTATTATAAATTTGGTGTGGGTCCCATGTCTAATAACTAGGGATGGGATATTTAGGTACTAAAAACTGAAAAATAGGTAACTAAAAAGGTACTAAAAAAAGCATTTTAGGTTAAAAAATCAGCATTTTAGGTAAAAAAAAAACATTAAAAGTTTAAGTTTCCTTTATAATTTTGTATAGCCGCATACCCAAACACAGAACATACCCACAATAAACTATTTCTATGCAATAAACTGTGTTTTACTGAGTGACACTCACTACATAGAAGTTCTATGACAGAACATAAGCTCAATAGTAGTGAGTCACTACAAAGAAGGTAACTGTAAAGAAAGTTACTGTTACCGTCTGTAACCATAAGAAAAAATTCTATACCGTTGAGTTGCACGCCCTGGATAAAATATTGGCGCAAATTTAAAAAAGAACAAAAAAATAAAATAAGTAAAAATACGTAAAAATAGGTAACAAATATATGAAAATAAACTGACAAATTAAAAAATATGTAACAAAAGTATAAAAAGGTAGTTTAAAGCAAAAACCTCCAAAAAAGGTAAAAAAGGTGAAAAAAAGTTCAAAAAATAGGTAACAAAAGTATAAAAAAGGTAGTTAAAAGCAAAAACCTCCAAAAAAGGTAAAAAAGGTGAAAACAAGTTAGGTTCATATAAAAGAAAATCTTTTAAAACACATTTTGGCATTATTGGTTTTCAAATAGTTACATCGGTTAAAAAAAGGTAAAGTAACTAAAATCCCATCCCTACTAATAACTGAGATATTGGTATACATTAAATCCACCAGCCGCCACTGTATTGGGGTGGTCGTTAAAACGGCTTGGTGGAATTTTAATGGTGTCGCCTCTGAAATTGGTTCCAAATAATTCTTATTAAATTGATTTTTAGACCAGTGCAGAAGCCTTTAAAAATGGTAAAAAGATTTCCGGCAAAACTACAAGTCCTATGGAAAAAAGTTAAATGTCAAAGTTGTAGGTAATAAAAAGATCTACAACTTTTTTGTTTACAATTTTTTCACATAACCTCAAAATTTATGTGAAAAATTAAAAAAAACCAAGTTTTTGGTTTTTTATTTTTATCTTTTTCAAAAAAAAATTTTTTCCACGAAATTTGGTGAAAACTTACCTTTTTATGTCCCAAATACACTGTAATTTATTTGATTTGAAATATTTATTATTTCGCCTTATTTTGACTTAATATCAAAAAAGCACCCTAATTTTCAATCGAAAATTCTCGCGTCAAAATATCAGCTTTTTTCAAAAAGTCGGTGTGCTTTTTGTTCGATGAACTCTTACTTTCTGATGGTGTAAAAAAAATATACATTACTTTGGTAAATGTTCTCAGAAAATACAAAAAATATTATAATGAATAACGTAATCAGAATGAAGTATCTAAATTCAATAGTATGATTTAAATGTATTTTTATATTTTATGAGATTTTCTGACATAAATGTTATTAGAATTTAATAAATAAATTTTTTAACTAAAAAAAATTGCAACAATCACATTTTTTTGATGAAATTGTACATAATGATTAAAATAAATTTTCGAATTCGAGTTTTTTTCGGTATTCATTATAATATTTTTTGCATTTTCTGAGAACATTTACCATAGTAATGTATATTTTTTTTACACCATCAGAAAGTAGAGATTTCAACGAACAAAAAGCACACCGACTTTTTGAAAAAAGCTGATATTTTGACGCGAGAATTTTCGATTGAAAATTAGGGTGCTTTTTTGATATTAAGTCAAAATAAGGCGAAATAATAAATATTTCAAATCAAATAAATTACATTGTATTTGGCATAAAAAGGTAAGTTTTCACCAAATTTTGTGGAAAAAAAATTTTTTTTGAAAAAGATAAAAATAAAAAACCAAAAACTTGGTTTTTTGAATTTTTCACATAAATTTTGAGGTTATGTAAAAAAATTGTAATTACAAAAGTTGTAGATCCTTTTATTACCTACAACTTTGCCATTTAACTTTTTTCCATAGGACTTGTAGTTTTGCCGGAAATCGAGATAAACCATTTTTTACCCTTAAACCCCCCCCTCCCACTTCCCGAAGTCAGATCGCCCGTAATTTATTTTTCCTTTCATTTTTATAATATTCTTCTCCTTTTCCAATGGGTTTCATCCCATTTATTTTTTTTTGGTTTCAAAAATTATCGACCCTGGTCTATTTATTCAATTTTCTCTCTAAAAATGAATTAGTCAAAAATGACTAGTTTATTAGTGACTGCTTTTTCACTTGTACCATGGTTAACCATGGCATACCATGGTATCCCAAAATTTAACAGCCAATTCTAATGTAAAATTATTCCCTGAATCCGAAAATGTCGTCAAAAGTTAAAAAAGTGCAACAGTTTTTGAGATATAGTAAATTTTCCATTTAATATGGAATTGACTATATCTCAAAAACTGCTCCACTTTAATAATTTTTTACGGTATTTTCGGATTCATGGAACAATTTTACATAAGAATTGGCTGTTAAATTTTGGGTTACCATGGTATTCCATGGTTAACCATGGTACAAGTGAAAAATCAGCCACTAATAACTATTAAATTAATTATTAATTATTAAACTAATTCATTTTCAGAGAGTTCCATTTGCTTAGCCTAATCTCTTTAATTTTAACCTGGGCCTATTAAACTTGGATATCATTTTTTTTTTCGTAATAATCTCTGGCCAACCTAAACTTGTAAAAAAACAGTTACTATGATATATCTTTAAAAAAAAAAATAACGTAAATATTTTTGTTATATTTTAGGAATACAACAAACATAAGGAAAAAACAGATCAAAAACGGGAAAAAGAAGAAAGGCGAATGAGCAAAGAATACCGTCCATCCATGATGCAAACTCTACGATCGCGTATGAAGAGTGGTTCCACCTCAAATTTAACCAACATTGGAGCACCAGCACCAAGACAATCCTTTAGTAACCTACTATCAGGAGGAACTCTAACAAACCGTCACATGGGTACAGTTCAAAAAAGAATTCTAGCCAATCAAAAGAACAGATTAGGCAACCAAAACGAAGAAGAATTCAAAATTAGCGAAATTGAAGATGGTAAACGATCGGTAAGATCCCTTAAGGGGATCAGAAGGGATTCAGAGGTTCTCTATGGGGGTACCATAGATAATAGAAGAGGGAGATTAGATAATATGTTTAACGAAGCTGAATTTAATAATAACAACACAGCGCCACCTCCACCCAGCAATGGAATGGTGAGATCGTTATCACAACCAGATTTTTTGCAACAATTGCAGGGAAGTGGGGATAAACAACAAGAACCATCCAGTATTTTTATAAGACCTGGGATGGGAAGCATTGTAATAAGGTCAGAACAAATATTAAGAAACTCTTTTGCAACAAAAAACTTTTCTTCTTAAAACGGTTTTGTGCCCATTCATATTACATCAATCAAAAAAACTATTTTTTTTTCACTTAAAGTTTAGAAAAGTTTTTTTTTTACTAAATAAATCATTATTAGAAACGTACACTCACAGGCAAAATATGCGATCCACACAAATTTTCGATGAATTTCAATCGCAAATAACTTATTTATTTGTTTTCGGATTTAAACAAATATTAAAGAATATTGTAGATACATTAATGGAGAATCGCTCACATTTTGAAAATTACTAAAAAATACATACGTTTATAATATACAGGTTTAAACAAAAAGATGTTTTTAACCATAAGTTTAAGACACTCTGTAGAGTGGCAAAACCGTATATTGTTCTAAATTGTGTTTTAATTATCAAGTCACATCTATTTTTAACATTTTTTTTTTTGGTTTACCTTGATATATTTATTTTTGTGAAAATATGGATTTTTTTTAAAAAATATACTTTACTTCTTGTGACGTTTAAAACACTTGTCACGTAATACTGTGACCGTCCATCCTGGATTAAATTAATGGCTCTGGCAACATCAGTCGGAGACATATCCATTTTTTAAAGTAAGAAGACACCTCAAAATTTAAACATTAATTTGCAAAAAACAATTTGTTAGCTTTTGAAAGCCGTGTATGACATGTCAAAGTATGGGATGATTCAACAAAACTGTCAATGTCATTCTCCATAGCCTATGGATGGACCATAGCAACCTTAGTTCTTCATACAGAAAAAAATTGGAAATTGCAATGTTTATTTAAAAAATCCATATTTTCCACAAAAATAAATATATCGAGGTAAACCAAAAACAAAATTGTTAAGAATAGATGTGACTTGATAAATAAAACTTAATTTAGAACAATATACGGTTTTGCCACTCTACAGAGTGTCTTAAACTTATGGTAAAAAACATATTTTTGTTTAAACCTGTATATTATAAACGTACGTCTATTTTTTAGTAATTTTTTAAAATGTTAGCGATTGCCATTAATTTATCTACAATATTCTTTAATATTCGTTTAAATCCGACATCAAATAAAAAAGTTATTTGCGATTGAAATTCATCGAAAATTTGTGTGGATCGATTATTTTGCCTGTGAGTGTATAAATATCCTTAGATCTATCTCAAAACTAAAATTGTAACAAAAATCATCGGAAACCTTCCAAAAACAACGCCCTTTAAAGATAACACCAAGGATTATTTCTGTTTTTGATGAAAATTAGAATAAAATATTGAAGTATGTTTTTTTTCTTCAGAAAAAGTATCACCAACACATTTGGAGCCCTGTATGGAGGAGTCAACAGTATAGATCAGAGCTCTCTGGATTCTGGGGAAAGTTATGCCAACAGAAACATTACAGATGATGAGCTGTCAGGTTCGTAAAACTATAAATTGAATTAAAAAAAAATCTAAAACATGTTTTTCATAATTTGTCCAGAATCAGAAGAAAGCGAAGATGAAGAAAACCCAAATGGTCCTTTGGAAAGATTTTTGACAGCCTTTGGTTTGGGCGAATACTTGCAACAATTTACAGAACAAAAAATCGATTTGGATACTTTAATGTTACTTACTGAAAATGATATGAAAAGTCTAAATTTGCCATTAGGTCCATACAGAAAATTAGTATTAGCAGTAAATGAAAGAAAATCTGCATTGGAAAGTCCTGGGGAAGTCACAGATAGCCAATTATAAAAAAAAATCATTATTATTAAGATATTTTACAAAATTCCACTAGGTTTTAAACTATTGTACTATTCTTGCCATTGCCACTGGATCATTTTATGGACGCTGTCCCATTAAATTAACTAAAATCTAAACATAAAAAATTTAAAAAATATTTCTTATACAATAAAATTATTTGTTTAAAATATAATACAAATTGTTGTTTTTGAACTATTTAATTAATACAAGATTTTTTAATTGTGGTGGGTGAGACAAAAAGTAGAGTTTTCCATGAAATGACCCAACATAAGTTTGTATAATTTCTAGTCAAATTTTTAAGTAAAACTAACGTTTATTTTATTTTTCTATTAACTTATAACTCATATGTAATTTATATAATTATTATATATTATTATATACATATGTAAATTTTTGGTTTGTTAATAGTATTATTACTTAATTTATATTAAAAAAAAAGTTTAAGTTCTTTGGATTTCTGTAAACAAAACCCTCAAAACCATGCCAAATCAAGCACTTTTTTATGCAATTTTTATAATATTTACTCCACAATGAAAAATCGATATTCTATAGAATATTTCTTACTACCTTGCTAAAGAAGTTTCACTTAAAAAATTATACCTGTCATTTCTAGACAAATGAATGCGAAACAGTTTTCTGCACATTGCCTAAAAATAGAAAATTAGAAAAAAGCATAGATTGGGAAAAAAGTGACCTATACGCCTCCTATTACTTTATTAGCAGGTTTTGCAAAATGGGGCGATACAAAATATACAGGGTGGCCAAAGTTATCTGCTCATTATTTAGCTTTGTTATTATTGGAGCTTCAAAGTCGGTTAAATTAGCATATTTTTTTTTATTAAAATAATAAAAACAGAAAAACAATGTATTCATTTATTTTTCATTTATTTATTTAATTGTATATTTCACTGTATAATATAGTTTAGCAAAACAGTTCTGTAACTTGTACCACCAATAATTTTCTTAATATTTTTATATTCCATATTGCTCTTTTTAACCATTCCAGTAACTAATTGAACGTCGGGTTTCCGAAATATTCACAAAATAATATTTTTTTAAATGGGGAAACTTACATATTTTAAAAGAGAATTTAATTTGAAACAAAAAATATTATTGAATAACTACCCCAAACTTCAAAAACTTTAATTTAAAAAAAATATTTTCCCAAATATAAAGAAAAAATATGCATTTTAAGTTTTTTATATTTTTTGTGATAGGCCACTGGTTACAAACTTGGCTTATCTCTGCACACTTGTGTTCTGTGAGTACATAGATACCAACCAACAAAGTAGCTGCACGTTGCCAGTTGTAAAAAATTGTTACTAAAAATGTTTCTTGCAAAAAACAAATAAAAACTCAATAAATACAAAAGTTTTATGCCCTTAAAGCTCTAATACCCTTCTGTATTTATTTACTCATCCAGATATTAGCATTGATCAGAAAGTTTAGTACCTATTTTAAAAGCTCCATAACCACAAAATTAATTTTTTCATCGGTTTTGTTCTTTCTGTTTACTCAGTTGAAATTAGGACAAGTTTACAGGTTAAACTTCATTACAAAAATTAATAAAAACACGAAATTAAAAATTTGCATTGTTGATTTTGTCATTTTTGTAATTAAGCTAAATTTAAACAAAATCTGGCAATTTTTTTTGCCAGAATCTGGAAACGCTGGTTGTTACCAACTATAACATAATAAATTAAATTAGACAAACAGATTAGCCCAAAGTTCCTACTCCAGGGTTCCCACCAACATTGTCATTTAAAAAATCAAGACTTTCATGACCAAAAATTAACTTTTTCATGACTTGGTTCATGACTACAGTGAATAAGCCTAGCAAGCCTAGCAAGAAATTAACCTTTTTTATTGAAAAACATTTATTCGTTATAAAATAAATTCTTATAAAATAGAAATAAAGTAAAATTTATAATAAAAACCGAACATAAAAATATTTAATTAAAATAAAAATTTTTTACAAATAATTATATGGCAAAAAGCTAAAAGAGTACCTATAAGTAGTGTTACTAAAAATAGACGTTATTTCGTTTGAATTAACCTTAATTACAAAAATGACACAATTATACAATGCAAATTGTCAATTTTTTATTTTGTTAAAGGGCTTTTTCGAATCTTTTGTGTTTAGGCGTTTTAATGTGAATGTCTACAGCAGCTTTTCCCATGTTGCTTAAGCTGCATGATTTGTTGCATATTTTACAATAAAATCTTGTAGGGTCATTGACAACTGGGGTTATGAATCATAACTTATGATATTAACAAAATTACCATTTAAATCTGCATTTTGCCAATATGGATGAAAATATGTCTTTTTCTTTGGCATGTTTGCATAAAGCCGAAGCCACAGAACATAAGCCCTGCAATCGGTTAATAAACTTTAGAAAAATAGGAGAACATTAGTTACATTACTTACCAAAATTAAACAAAAATAATTCCGTATCAGTGCAATTATGACCGTTAGTGAGACATTGAAATTGCATTCGTTTAAAAATGACACATGAGAATGCAGTGTTGCCAGGTCAAAATATGTATATGGGGTTGCCCAGAAGACAGCTTTGCCAGGTTATATTATAAAAATAATTTGAAAATTTTTGTGTAACATACCTATAGGTAATATACCTACCTATAGGTAATATATGTAATACCTATAGGTAATATATGTAATGTATGAAACAATAAATTGATAAAAATTATTATAAATCAAGAAAAATAATTGTTTTTAATTGAAAATCAAGACATTTAAGCTATATTTAGCTTCAATTCAGGACTTTCAGGTTCAAAAGTTGTATTCATGACTTTATCAAGACTTTCAGGTTTTTGAGGATTGGTGGGAACCCTGTACTCGATCAGTGGCGTACTTTTTGGTTGAATAAAGGTTATTATAAATTATTTTGTCTTTAGAATTTAGAAACAAAAAGTTTCAGGTGCTTCTTTATGGAACCTAAGGAACTACCCATTTTAATATATTACATTAATTACATCACCCTGCATGCATAAGGCTATTAGGTATTGCATAAATAAAACTAAAAATAACCAACTAACCAGCCAACCAACCATGTTTTAGCCAGTTAATGTTAAAAACGTTGGAGTTTAATCGCAAAGCACGGTTAGTTATTATATGCATTAAAAACACATCGCTAATGAAGTTTTACTTTAAAAATTTAATAATAAACAAAAATGAAACATTATGTATATAAATAAATTTATTGTTGAATAAACTTGAATATACAAAACATCTTAGGTGCGCTTGGTAGAAGCGTACGGATACAAAGTTTGAAAGGCGGCAGAATCCGGGGCAACGTCGTCATCAGACTCATCCTCGCCGTCGGATTCAAAAGTATTATCCGGAATATCATAAAGACGAATCATGGGCTTGTTGGGATCCTTCATAATCAAATACTTACCGTCTTTCTGCTTCATAACAATGTCGATAATGCAACGTAGGATACCCCAGGCATTGTCCATGTTCAAGTTAATTTGGGTGGCGAATTCGTGTGGTTTATACTGCTGCGTACCAAGAATAACGTGTTTGCTGTTATCCCTTACGTGCGCTCTCGATACATAACCAAACTTAATTTGGTCACTGCCGGCTAAAAGTGCTTGGACTGTCCACTTTGCCAGTTTGCAAGCGTTGTTACGAAGTTCGTTTGCCAATACTGCACCACGTTGGGTATCCAGTTTTTGACGCCATTCGACGCCGTTTGCTAGTTTAGAGTCCCATTCATTAAGGGCTTTGATGGAGAGGTATTGGAGTTCTCCGTTTGGCGATTGGACCACTGCATCGTGTTCGCAACGAGCCACAAGTATCTACAAAAAATATTAGTTTGATAACATATTTTTATATATTTATTGTGTAGGTAAAAGGTCTCCCGCGGCAAATTTCGTTTTTAAATTTAAAATAACTCCAAATGCCACTGCACGGCTTTTCAAAGTGTGCTGGATATGAAAGTCAAGTTCTTTTCGCATTAAATCTGATGAATTTTGAAAGAAAACATTCCAAATTATAATTTGCGACAAAAAAAACTAGAAGAAACGCGTAATTAGGTTAGGTAATTAGTCTTCAAAATCTGTACTCAAGTGAACTGGCTGAATGACCATTGTGCCTCTAACTATTTGAATCTGTCAACCGTTTTGCCACCTTGTAATTTGAGATTATTTATCGTAGTATTGGTGGATTGCGTCACAGTCTCGAAAAAATTGATAATTATCACCTATAAGTGTGTTTTCTTCTTACTTTGCCACTGTAACACCCGAAACGAAAAATCATGTAATTGTAATAATATTTAGTAAAAGTAACGTTATGGTGGTAATGATTTAAAATACTAACTAATATCTGAGCTGAAACTAATTTGATATGTTTATCTTGATTAAAAATTGTAACACCCGAAACGTTTCGGGTGCTACAACTTTTTTCATATGTCGATATATGTGTGTGTATTGCTTGAAGAATACAATAAGTATTATTTTTAAATGCTCTTTCGACGACTCACTCTTTTAAAGAGGTGTGACTGCTTTTCCGATGGTGTCGAACCTACCGAAATTTCTACCTAAATGCAACGGACCTACCAAAATACCGAATACTTAGATTTTCGTCAATAACTATGTTTCTACCGATATTTTTTACCGATTTTTGGCAATAACAACGATTTTACCCTTTTTGCCGATTTATCAATCGCAACCGAAGCTGTTTAAGGAGAATTCATTGTATTCATTTTATTTGTTATTAACTTATTTTGAAGTACCTAAGACTAATAAAACACCGATTTGGTCCATATAAAGTGTTTAATTTTTGTACTTGTAACAGCCGAAACACAACCATGGTAACACCCGAAACAAAGAAAAATTTTATTAAAAAAATAGTAAAACGTTATTTGTGACAGTGATGGTTAGTAAATATTATACTTTTGGAGGCCTGTAATTTTTAAGAATGTTTCCATAAGAAAATTCGCTGAATTTCAAATAAATGTAACAATGATCAGGACATAGACGGTCCTGTGAAACAGAGCTCGCGACTTCGAGCATAGATTGTCTTACACTGTATTAATTAAGTTAAATAGTCAATGTTTAGAGCTACAAAATTTCAAGAAAGAATTTTCTAAACAAAACATAGCAAAAGGGATAAAAAGGGAGAAAAAATTGTTGCGTTTTTTCATATATTTATACAACACCGCATTGGTGAGCAAAATAAGTTTTATAAAAATGTAGCAATCTGTTGACCTCTGTGCGATAATCGGTTCCTAAGTTATTAAAACAAAAAGTTAGTTTTTTTTAAATAAATTTTTTTTGAAGTAAAATACTGTTTCTCGTAATTACTGGGTGATTCCATATAAGATTGGTTGTGGTGCAGGCACAATCTAACGCTCGTGTATTGTTGACTATAAAGCCTGGTTTATAGATTGTCTTCCTTCCTTCCTGCCGTAAAAGATGAACAATACGAAAAAAATAATTTATTAAAAATGCAGCCGATTTCGTCGAAAAGGCGTTTCACAAGTGTAGTGTCGTTAGAGCCAAGGTTCGAAAAAACCATGATTAAAAAAAATCTAAAATCGACGATTTTTACTATAAAAATAGTAATATTTAAAAAAATACTAAAAAAATTTTAGTAAAAATAACTTGACTATAATAATATTACATTGGCACTACTTTATAAACAAATAAACCACCGTCCGCAACTGTCATATATTTTTTTATACTCCTTTATTATTTTATTTAACAAAATAAGAAGTTTTTCTATGCATATTATTTTATTTAAATAGTGTCAAGATTAGGGTGTGTCATTTTTGAGCAACTTTTTTTTCAACTAAAAAACAGGCTAAAAACTTTCAGGAAGGTGAAAAAAGAAGCCACTAAAAATTTGAGCTCTTAATAATAACATTAAGTGGTGCCTGTTCCTAACTTTCCATTTTCCATTTAAATAACATGGGAAAAAAATTTCTTTTTTCTAATTTCTGTATCTTGACATTTAAGCATTGTAAAATCGAACTGAAAAATTATTTTGTTAGGAAATTGGACGCTCTACAAAAAAGTACTAATTTATTATTTCAAAGAGTAAGCCGTTCTGAAGGTATTCAAACTTGCAAATTTATGAAATTATGACTTTTATTTTATTAAACTAATACTTTTTTATGTCTTAAAAATTATTTTAAGAAAAAATAATTATTTTCGTATAGAAATAAAATAACACTTACATCTCAATTTTTTTTCCATTTTATTTTATTTGATATTAAAAAAAGTTATTTGTGTTCAATAAATTTGTTCAATAATTATAGTAGATTAAATAAAACAATAAATGTGTTATTGTATTGAATTTTTAATCTTTCTTTATTTTTTATAATTTTAAAGTCGATAACTCTGATTATATCGGCTCAGTCGGTATATTACCGTTCGGATTACACAGTGACTAGAGGCACGCTAACGTGCCGCGATTCGAAATGTTAAAGGCAACTTTAAGTTTGAATACCTTCAGAACGGCTCACTCTATGAAAAAATATATTAAAACTTTTTGTAGAGCGTTCAATTTCACACCAAAATAATTTTTCACTTCGTTTGTACAATGCTCAAATGTCAAGCCACAAAAATAAGAAAAAAGAAAAAATTCCATGTTATTTAAATGGAAAATGGAAAGTTAGGAACAGGCACCACTTAATGTTAATTATTAAGAGCTCAAATTTTTAGAGGTTTCTTTTTTCACCTTCCTGAAAGTTTTTAGCCTGTTTTTTAGTTGAAAAAAAAAAGTTGCTTAAAAATGACACACCCTAGTCAAGATATTATTGTGCTTTAGTTTTAGATCTTTTAAGTGTTTTTTTTTGATTTTAGAAACTTTTTTAAAACTGATTTAATACATTGAATAAAATAAAAAACTCAGTTGATTTTAATCGTGATTTAAATCAAATCTAGATTAATAAATCAACAAATTATTGAATATTTATAATATAAAAATTATTTTTAATAATTTATTAAAAATGCAGCCGATTTCGTCGAAAACGCGTTTCAGAAGTGTAGTGTCCAAAAAAGCATGATTTAAAAAAAATCAAAAATCAACGATTTTTACTAAAAAGTCAAAAAAAAACGACAAAATATGACTTTTTTGTTGTTTTTTTTTATTTTTTTTAATTAGAAACACAAGTGTAGTGTCATTACAACCAATTCTAAAAAATCATGATTTAAAAAAACAAACAAAAATCAACGATTTTTACTAAAAAAAATTAAAAAAATCAACAAAAAACTACTTTTGTTTTTTTTTAAATTTAAGCTTTTTTAAATAAAGTGTACTATTAAAAAAATACTAAAAATAACTTGACTATAATATTATATTGGCACTACTTTATAAACCACCGTCCGCAACTGGCATATATTTTTTTGTATATTCCTTTATTATTTTATTTAACAAAATAAGCAGTTTTTCTATGAATATGAATTTATTTAAATTGTGTCAATTATTGTGCTTTAGTTTTAGATCTTTTAAGTTTTTTTTTATTTTATAAACTTTTTTAAAAACTGATTTAATACATTGATTAAAATAAAAAACTCTCTTGATTTAAATGAGGCGAACCCTAGTTAAAACTACCTTGAAATAACAAATAAAATCTTATAACCCAGGCAAGAAAAAAGGACATAAAAACCCTTCAAACTACACAAAATAAAATTCTAAAACTTCTATTTAGCAAATCACCCAGAACATGTACAAAAGAGCTTTATAATGAACTACAAATTTTAAATGTAAGTGAATTAATTAAAATGGACAGTGTCAAAATAATATATAAAATTAAAAATGGTCTGATTTGTACTGATGTAGAATTAACTAGAAATTGTGATATTCACGAATATTTTACAAGAAATAACTCGCAATATTATATAGCAAATACAAATACAAGTTTTGGCAAAAAAAGAATAACCCAAACTGCCTTGAATTGGTTTAATGAACTTCCGGAACATATTAAGTTACAACAAAACCTAAAAGCTTTTTCTTCACATGTTAAGGACTATTATATGAAATTAAGAAAGTGATTTGACTAATGTGTAAAATTATATAAACAGATGTTATACTCATAGTTTTGTTATATTTATATTTCTACTCATATTTTCTGTGATGTTATTTACTCATAAATTTAGTTTGTTTATAGTTTTTCTGTGATATATAAGTACCTGATATGGAATCTTGTATTCTTTTAAGGTTAATAAATAAATTAAAAAAAAAACTTACAATTCCGCCACCAAGATCCCACTTCCTGTATCTGTAAGCAACGCTGGCGACCTCGCCTTCCTCCTCCTCGGAGACGAAAGGATTCGGGTGCGCGAACTTGAACCTCGGCTCCTTGTCGCCGGCTCGCAGCACTTGCTGGCTGAAATTGTGGTTGATGAAGGTGGCTTCCAACGCCAAATTTCTGGGCGAGTTCAGCGAGTTGCCGTCGTCTTGCGGCGGCTCGACGGAAGTCTCGTTCACGGTCAGCAAATCGAACTCCGTGTTGTCGCGCTTGTCGAAGAACAACTTGTCGCCGATCTTCTCGATCACGATGTCCCACGAGTAGTTCGAACGGGTGCAGCACATGATGGTGGCCAGAATGGCGTCGGTCGCGTAAACGTTACCCTCGGTTTTGGTGAGCTTACGGATCGTCGGATCGTCCGTGGTGGTGACAGTGTGGAAAATACGGTTAACGCTCTGCAAGGGTTTTTCGTTTTTAACGTTCACCCTGTCGTACGTTTTGTCGTAATATTCCAACTCGCCGCAGCACATAATATCGTCACCTGTACGAAGAAATGCATTAGCATAATGCTTGGTTGGAATTTTAAATGGGTCTTACCGTCCTTAATGCTTGGAAGGGAAAGTTTTCCAAGACGTGGAAAGTCCATTTCTTCAATGGTGACCCAGTCAGGTCGCACAGTAACTGAGGCGTCCCTAATTTTAATTTGTGGCTGCAAAAAAATTATACAATTCTTCATACCCACTATGATTACCAATTACATAATTTGTTAAGATTTGCTGTTTTAAATTTTTAAATTATTTTATAAAATTATTAAGAACCTACTTCAACCCAATATAAAGAAAAATAACAACAAAGATCAACATGAACATATTTTTAACTCAACCCTAAAATTTATTACAATTTTATATCAAAAACCCTACAAAATTAAAAGAACCATAAATTATCAATTTAAAAGAGGAACATTTATTTTATCATTAGTCTGAAAACTAGGATTTTCCTTCAAGTTTAAATTAAACTTATTACACCTAAGTGAAGTGAAGTGGACAAGGGAAAATATGTTGCAGGTGTTTTTATAGATTTTTCCAAGGCCTTTTATACACTTAATTACAAACAACCACTTTAAAAATTGGACAGAATGGGATTTAGAGGAAAATCACTTGAAATATTATCATCATATCTACATACATAAAAGAGAACAATTTGTACAGATTGGAGAACATAGAAGTGGAAAGCTTTATCTTAAACAAGGTTAGGGATGTAAAAAAACGGTTTTTTTCAGATGTGAAAAAAAACATGAAAAAAAACCTAGAAAAAAAACGGTTTTTTTTGTTTTTTTTTCAAAATAAAATTTTGAGTAAAATGTTTATTAATAAAGTAAAATATAGAATATATTACATTTTTCATTATTGAAAATTTTGACCGAGACTAAAAAATCTGATTTCTTATTATTTGGTAGTTTCCACATTAGAAAACAATAGCAATGTAATACAAATATACTAATACAAAAAATTAAAGGATAAAAAAAAAATTTGTTAAAACTTTGTTAAAAATGGTCATATTGGAGCCGTAAAAAAAGCAATTTGAAGCTTGAAGTTTCTAGTTTTGAGATTTTTAGATAAAAAATGTGCAACGCTCAATCCCAACGAATACAGTAATAAAAAAAACGATTTTTTTGGCTTTCTGGTCCACGGAATGTTCTGACTTAACCACAACACAAATGTTCTACAAGAATTTGCTATTGCTTTTTTGAAAAAAAAATTCCTGCTTTTGGTAGCTTTTTGAAAAATCAATCGCTGAATCAAAAATATTATATGTAGTTACTTTTTTTAGGACTAAATCAAAACAAGCGCGGTCCTTATTGGTCAATTCGGTGGTGATGGCGCGTGCATAGCGCGAGACTGTATTTACATTTACTAATTGTCATTTAGTGACTAATTTTAGTCCATGAACTGGACTGGAAACATAAAAATTATGCAATTGGGACTAATCTTGAAAAAAAACCTAAAATGTGAAAAAAAACCATTTGAAAAAAAAACAATGAAAAAAAACCTGAAAAAAAAAAACAAAAAAAAAACGGACCGTTTTTTTTCAAGTCGCATCTCTAAACAAGGTGTCCCACAAGGCTCCGTCCTAGGACCATATTGTATGTACAAGACCTTAGATTTTTATTTAAATACACAACCTACTACTCTTAAGCAGATGATACAGTTCTACTCTACTCAGGAAATAATAAAGAAGAAATAGAAAACAATGCAAATGAAGACAATTTTTAGAGTGGAGAAATAATAACAAATTAAAACTTAACAATAATAAAACTGTAAAGATGATATTTAAACATAAAAATAAAAAAGACATTGATATTAATATTGATATAGGACAGAAGAACCCAGTAAGTAAATTTAAATACCTGGGAATGTAGATTGACAACAAGATAAATTGTAAAAGACACATAAAACAAATAGAAGAAAAGATAATACCATTGGTTGGCTGTTTAAAAAAATGCGGTGCTGAAATCTGTGATAAATCAAAAATGCTGGTTTACCGGTCATTCATAAAGTTTCAGTTTCGATATCTGATTACTACATGTTGGTTGTGCGTGTACTAGTGATTTTAAAATAACTCAAAATAAGTGCCTTAAATCGTTATTTAACATAAACATTAAGTATTAGTAATTTAGAAAGACTAAAGACTTTAGAACTTTTAAGGCGCATTCATGCTCACTAAAATAAGAAATAAGAATAAGAAATAAGATAAAAAGTTAAAACTGTGTAAAGTAATGGTTGCGTTCATGCTCATGAAAATAAGAAATAAGAATAAAGATTAACAATTTTTAACTTTGGTTCTTATTCTTGCGTATAAAACTGCGCAAAGAACCAAAATGGGTCTGTGAATTATTTTGATGGGTTTTATGTGCTGGCCATGGAGCCATGGTGTTGGAAATCGCGTTGAGTGTCGCTGTCGATTGTTTACGTTTATAGCCAATATAATCCACTATAATAAAATATAATTGTGTGACAACATTTTTTATTTCTTATGTTATCAGCATGAACGATCGCGGTCTTTCTTATTCCTTATTTCTTATTCTTATTTCTTATTTTAAGTGAGCATGAATACGCCTTTAAAGTTAACTTTTAGAATAAAATATAAAAAACAAGAAACCAAAATGGATCTGCAAATAAACAATCAACTTCATCAACATTTAACAAGACAAAACAATGAAATACATCTGAGTCAATATTTATCAACCAGTGGAAATTATAGTGCAATAAATAACCTATTTAAAAGAAACAAAAGCAAGGTGACAAGGTATATGCCCAGTTCTATATTTACTATTGTTCATAAAAACCTTTTTATTTTGTTAAATTTTATGAAAATATTTTTAAAAAGTTTTAAAAAATTGCAAGTCAAACAAAACATTTTTAATTTTTTTTTCAATTTTATAAAAATATTTTAAAAAGCTCTGATTTATGGTCCTAGACCAAATTTGCAATTGCTAACATAATACCTTATAAATTACATTTTCAATTACTTCAATTTTTATTTTTGAATACCAATTGAATTGTATTTATTGTATATTTTGTGATTTATTGAAAAATAACTAAGAGAAACCAAAATTATTGTTTGTTTTTATGTAAACTTGTTTTAGTCTATGGATCCAATTAAAGAAATTGAAAATGTTATTTTAAATGTAAAAATTTTACTTTAAAAATTAAAAAAATTAAAAGCAATAAAAATCATATTCGAACATGTAATTTTAAAACAATAAAAAACTGCTTTTTTTAAATCTACAAATTTTTAAAATGATTTATTTTTTACAAACTACCTATATTAATTTACGTAAAATATAATAAATCATGAAAAAATCACAAAAATTATTAAAAATCAAGTGACTTACCCTGCCTTGACCCCATTTCTTAACCTGACTTCTCTTGTAAGTATCCCTAGATTTAAGACCTTTGCCAAGAGACTGCATAACACTGCCTTGAACACCTCCTCTGCCCCCTCTACCTCTCATGTTCCTTTGGTTGGCACGGAATCTGCCCCTTTGGTATGGAGGCTTCTGCACACGAGTGGTATCCACCAAATGGAATGTACTCTCATCTTCATCATGGTAGTAAGCATATTGGCTACCAGATCCAAATTGAGAGGCATATTTGTCTAAAATAATAATATATTAGTACATAAAAAATTAAATAACACCAAGATTAAAAGAATATCTACTTGACAAGATTCTATACAATTTCTCAAATATTGCAAAATAATTTTGTTTATTATAGTAGGTACTATAGGCATAAGGATATTAAAATCAATATTTGTTAAATTATTAAAAACAAAATTTACTTAAAATTTATATCAACCCAATCTTAAATTTATGGAAAAATATAATTCGTACACAAATATTACCACTTTTAATAACAAGTATTTATCATACAAAAAGAAATATAACATTATTGATCTTACAATAAATATTTAGTTATTTGTTTATTATATAAAGTTTTTAAAATTGTTTGCCAATACATTCAGTAATAATACCTACTTTATTTACACAAAAAAAGGTTTGCATTGACCTTATAATTAAAGTAGGTATATCTTAGAATGTTGGGATAAAAATTACAAGTCAAGGGGTTGTTTTGAAATTTTATCATTTTATCACAGTTTGTAATAATTATAATTACATATTATATAAACCAAAATTACGATTAAAAATGGGATTGCAGTATGGAGATTTAAACATAACCTCACTTTAAATAAAACATTAAAACAGTACTCACTTGCGTATTTTTTGTCCTGGAAAGCAGCCCCAGTCCAATCGCTAATTTTCCCCAAACGATCTCCTTTGCTAAAGGGTTGATAAGGCATATCCTTAAATTGGTCAGGCATTTCGCATGGGCCCCATCCGGTGGGGTTATCCTGGATCACAGGTGCATTAAAATGGGGCACCTCAGCACCTTTCACTTCTTCAGGCATACTCATTCGGTTTCGGGCACAATTAAACACTTATTTGTTGCTAATTATTAACAATATGCTTAAAATTACAGCCACCGGTTTGACAGATGACAGCTAAAAGGAAAACGGATGTTCGAGTTGGCAACAATGGCAAGCGGGAGATTCGAATTTTCGTAGTCAATCCAATGGTACCTTGATGTATCCTGGGTTGCCTATTATAAAACAGAATTTAAAAAATGTTGGTTCTTCATATAATAGTAACAACTGGAGAATGATTTTATTATAAAACCAGTTGTTATCAGTTAATAGCTTATTACTTTTAATTAAAAAAAATTGTATAAAATAAAAACAAAAATGGGTGGGGTCCTATTATAGGTATAGGCAAAATTGTGGGTATGGGTAGGTAATAAAAATAAAATAAAAAAATATTTTATAAAATTATTTATTAAAAAAAATTGTCTAAAAAGTTGGCTATAATATCTATAGTTAATACTCTTTTCATGTGAATACTGGTTCAATATCTATATATATATCAATATCTATAGGTAATTGTAATTATAATTTTTATTGTTTTTTAAATTTGTCCTCAAACTCCATGATCACTAAAATAATTTTCTTAATAGCTGCATCAACATCTTCACTGGTTATTTCCCAGTATGTTACAATTCTAACATATGAAAAATATTTGTATCCACATCTTACAATAACCTTATCTGTCTCATTGCCTTTCAGTGAGGCCAATCTATCGTAAAAGTCTTTTGCTGTTACTTTTGATGGGTCCATATGAATCATCACTATGTTGGTTTGTTGCCCTTCAAGGTCTACTTTGAATATGGATGGTTTTAAATCTTGAATTGCTGCAAAATTAACAAAAGTTATTTTGGCAAAATGTGCACCTACATGTAAAAATTGTAACCTGAAAAGGGCCATACTAATGAAAATTTAAAAAAATAAAATCTTTTTATTTAAGTTAGGGACACTGGGTGTACCAGAAAAGTTAAAAAATAAGTATTTGTATATATTATACTTATATTAAATTATTTTTTACCAAGGAATCCACTGTTAAATTGTTTTCCAATTTTTATGGTACACCCTAACTTAAATAAAAGATTTAATTTTTTTTATTGTAAATAATAATATTAAGGCCCTTTTAGAAAAAAAATAAAAAGTACTAATTTTTTCATTTATTATAGGAGTACCTATTATTAAAAAATATAGTGTTATTTTAAGTATAAAAAATTACAAACCGATGAGTAATTTTTAGGTACCTACCTAAGGGATAAAAATTAAATGATATTATTTATATTATTGTTTTGAGACTATTTAATAATGTATATATAAAAGGATAGAAAATAATTAATTTTTTTTTGCAAAAACTGTCTAAAAATACATTTGTCAGGTTGACAATGTCAACCTTGTTAACTTCAAGTGGCTGTAGCAAAGATTATCTTCGGCTGTAGATGCGTTGAATGTTTTGTTTCCAACAAAACTGTTTTTTTTTTAACCTAAATTCTAAACCGCGTCCAAAAAAAATCAACAGTAAAAAAATTTCAAAATCTTTGTATTTAAGTTATGGAGACTCTGTGTTAACATTAGGGTAAATTTTTAATTTTTAAGTTTTAAATCATTAACATTTATAATATAAATTCACTATATTTTTTGTATTTCTCGTTACTCGGCAATTTTTGTAGCGTCCGTAATAATACAAAATTGGTAGTAAAAATTACAGTAATTATTATACTTCTAAGCTTAATTATTAGAAGCATAATAAACATGTTTGCAATAGTAACTAGTAATAGTAACATACTTATTGTAAAAGAATTTATTTTATATCATAAATAAAATAAATAAATAATAACCATCTTTTTATTATGTTAACCTTGATTTATTTAAAAATATTCTAAATATTAAAAAAAAATAAAAACAAAAATTAACAGGAAAAATTCCATCATATTAAAATAATAAAAATAAGTTTATTTACATAAAATAAAGTACATATCAAAATATTATTCTTAAAATACAATATCTAATTACTATTATAATACAATTTAGCAATCATTGGACAAATTACTTACTTAATGCATCATTGTGTCGAATATGTAGGTTGGGGAATTTGTACAATTTAGACTTGTTTTTTAGCACTGTAAGTCGTCTTAAAAGACTTTTAAATGTTATTGTAAATTGAATTTTCTGTTATTTCTAAAATCTTTATATTATTTATTTACTGCAATATGGATTTGAATCCGTTAATAAATCCGTTAATAAACAAAAATTTAAAAAAAAATTACTATTTAAAAATTTGTTAATAATAATTTATTTTTTTCTTAAATGTTTGGTAATACATATATTAAAATTACATAAAAATATAAATGCTCAATAGACGGTATTATCACAATAGATTTTACAAAATAAAGCAATTAATGAGAGTAATACTACAATGCAATATACACCAGTAAATTTAATATTAAATATACTAAATTTTATGAAAGTTAAATTTTTTTTAATATACATTATATATTAATATAAAACGACATAACTATCTACCATATTTTTAAGTAGAAAAATGCAATATCCAAAATTAATAATTAATAATTTGGTCAACAAGGCACAGTAAAGATTTATCTATATAAAAAAAACCTACATATAAAAATATTCTAAAAGTAAATATTTTAAATAACAGATGCTAAATAAATATATTATTTTTATTATTAAATTTAATAAATTAATGTTTGTACTTTTCATGTATAAAAATAAATAAAATTAAACCCTAAACATTTCATCGTATTCTCTTATAACTAAAGTAATTTTCTCGATGGCTTTATCAACATCTTCCTTTTGTATTTCCCAGTATAGCACAAACCTGACACAATTGTGGTTTAAGGAGGTACACCTAACACTGGCTTTAACACTGTCAGTTGTCAGTACAGTCTGTAATCTACGCTGAAGATCCCTGATTTCCACTTTGCTGTGGTCTACGTACATAAGGAGAATGTTGGTGTGCAAATGGGCCAAGTCCACTTTGAAAATGTTTGATTTTGTGGCGTGAATTGCTGGAATAAGTTTTTGGTTGTAGATTTTTGTTTTTGTTTCAGATTTTACCACCTTTTTTGCCATGCATTTTTGTTCCTTTTTGTACATGCGTTTTTTAAATCTATTTACACCATTTCCTTTTCACCAAATTATAACTTTGTTATATAATACGTACCGTATCAATTATGCAAGAAAAAATCACATCCATTATTTAAACAAAAATATATCTTGCATAATATGTTTATTATTTATTGGCCATACTTAAATATATGATTAATTTATACCTATATATAATATACACAGGTATAAATTAATCATAGGTATATTTGACTATTCATAGTATACCCTACAATGTCATGATACAACATGTTGTATCATGCTATAATGTTAGTAATTTGTAATAAGCAATTATTATTATACTTAGGTTCTAAAATTGTATTTTTTGCAAACGATAAATATATTTTAAAATAGTTATAAACAGTTATAGTAATTATTAAGAAATATTAAAAAGTATAAAAAAAAACAATAAAAACTGTAAATGAAAATCCGAGTAATTTCAAAACATTCAGAAATAATTGAAAATGTAAAAAAATGAGGACAAATTGTAATTAAAAAAAAGTTAACGTATATCACATGTCAGATTGGTAAAAAGTTGAGTTAAAATTTCTTGAACGTTGTCAGATTTTAGAAAAATGTCATAATATAAAGTTCATTTTTTTTTATCTGGACTGCGGCAACGTTGCAAATTTAGGGTTTTGGTTGGTAAATACAGTTGTCAAGTTGGTCGCATTGATTAAAACAAACTAAGCTAGTTATAAATCTAATTGTGGTTATGTATAAATTATTGTAGGTGACATTGTGCAGTTGTCGAAATTCGTAGTTAAAAATGCAATTAATTTGGCTTTGGTGGTGCTTGGATGAGTATAATCATATAACAAAGTAGTTAAATATAGGTTGCTTTACGGCCCAGAAGAGAAAGTATTCCTAGCGGATAATAATCTTCGCTTTAAAAAGAATTTATATAAAAGAAATTAAAATTTTTTGTAAACGTAAATGTTGTCCAATGGTGAATAATGTGTGATAAAACCAAATTCGTTACTTTTTTACTCCAAAAATGTCCATAAGGCGATGTACTTTTTCTTCCATTGTGGCATTTGGCATAATTTCATCAAAATGAAGTTTTGCCCTCAAAAGGGCTTTTACATTCGAATTCGTTGCTATTATTTTTCGCAAAATTATCTTTTTATTTATAATTGACAAGTAAATTATCAATAATAAATATTATTGTCAATTTAACAGTGTCAAAGTATTTAATTAAATTCTTTAGGAGAAGTACTATTTTTAAATACTATAGTATTATAAAAATACTAAGTCAAACTGGCATAAGCCACCAACCTAACAAAAAAAGAACTGTATTATATTCTGAAACTTGCTCTACAAGCTCCGCATAATTAATTTCGTATATAAAATGAATTTTAAAAAACTTAATATAAAATACTTTTACCTATTTTCAGTGTTTTTGCAATTTTTAAAAGCTTAATTTTAATAAAAATAAATTATTTAACAAAATTGGCGAATGCGCCGGGATTAATTTATAATATTTATATTTTTTAGATTTTAAAATGTTTAATTCTGCATTCTTTCTCCATGGTTCGTGTTTTATACCGCAACGTTATCAGCCATACATTGCCCACCGTTGTCGAGCGATGACTTTGCGGTATTAAACTTTACAAACTGTACATTTATAAGCATTTTAATTCGAATCCTAAAGCTATATTTTTACCGATACCGTTAAACCCAAACTACCCAAAAGCCTATAGAAGCATTAAACTTATTTTTAAGCATATTAATTAATGCCAGTACCGTTATACCCAAAATTACTTAAAAGCCTATAAAAGCATTATTTTTAAGCATATTTATACACCTTCCAAATTTAAAAAATATTTATTTACCTTTAGCAATTTTGTATGCATGATCATGATCAATCTGTAATCTATCAATCATCTTATCCAGTGCTACCAAACCAGCAGCAGCTAAAATACCTGCCTGTCTCCAACCTCCACCAAGAAGTTTTTTGGTTCTTCGAGCCCTATACAAAAAATGTTTTTTATTAGATCAGGAATATCGAAGGAAAATTTATTCTCAAAGGGAGTTTTCCAAAGATCGAGAATTAATATAAAGGGTCACCGCTTACAACAACGACTGTAAGCGTGTTTTTGTCTTTTGAAAAGAAAGGGACAAGGCGTAAAAAAAATGTTTATTTTTAATCTGTCTTTAATTTAAACGTAACGTTATGTTTTTTTTGGATTATTTCTACAATAAAAAAATTGCTTAAACTTATATAAGACTTGAAATAACAACATGACAAATTTTGGTATGCTAAATCTATTTGCTAATGTTTTGATAAAAATATTTCTTACTTCGCAATAAATTCGCTGTCTCCAGCCAAAATTGATCCAACTGGGGCACCAAGTCCTTTGCTCAAACAAAAACAAACAGTATCCACATCTCTGCAAACCCTTTTTGGTGGTACTTTTAAATATACGGCGGCATTCATAAGTCTGGCACCATCCATATGTACCTTAAGATTGTATTCATTGGCTATATTTCCCACTTTTTGCACCCAATCCAAAGGCAAAACCTAAGAACAAGAAAATATAATTTTTGAAGTTTTTTTTTTATTTTTATTTTTTACTTTTCCTCCACACATATTGTGGGTGTTTTCAATGACAATAAGAGTTGAAATAGGGGCGAAAGCGTCTCCTTTTTTAATTTTTTTTCTTAGTTCATCCAAGTCGAATGTACCATCTGGGTTGTTTTTGAGTATAGATTGTTGGACACCTGCTACTTGGGATGCTCCAGCTAAAATATATTTTAATTCTTAAATGTTTTAATTATTTATTTATACAGGGTGTCCTAATAAAGGCGCACTAATAATAATAAGTATACAAAAATACAACTTTTTTCCGAAAAATATTTTTTGAGTTTTTAAGCATTTAGGTTTAAAAAACTTGTGTTGTCCTAAGTATTTAAGTATATAACTATAGATATATCACACATCTAAAAGTTGCTATGGAAACAAAATAAAAAAACAAAAAAATTAAATTTTAATCATCAAATCTTTGTTATTATTAACAAATTTAGGGTGTTTCACAACTTGATTAGATTGGGTGTTAAAATACAGTGATTACACTGTATTATTATTTAAAGAAATATTAATGTTTTTATAATTGTTTTTATTGATTGTATATTAGGATTTCCTATTTAATAAAGATTTATTATTTATTATTATTAAATATTAAGTCGATTTATTAATTAAAAATCTAATAAAAGTCCAACAGAAAACAAGATAGAAAGTGTTAAAGTTACAAGTAAAAAAAAATTCTTTACATTACATTTTCAAAACAAATGAACCACATATGCATTTTTAAGTAATAAAACAATTTCTTAACAAAAATTGTAGTAAAAGTTCATAAGATAACGATAAAAAGTGTTAAAATTACAAGAAGTAAACTAAAACACATTTTATTCACTTTAATTTTATTTTTTTATAAATCGACTTAATGTTTAAATAAGCATATGTGGTTAAATAAGCATAAGTTCTCAAACACCCTGTATAGTATATTATATAAGAATAATTTTTTTATACACATTAATTTTTAAAGTTTTTTTAAAGGTACCATGAATAAATTCTTAAATGTATATAATTTTAAAATATTTAATTTAATTAATAATATATTCATAGGTATTAACATATTTCAATTAATATTCATCATTCATTAAATAGACTTGAATTAATTATTTAAAGAAAAGGCTAGTCCGAAAAAATCGTTATATAAAATTATACCAAAATACCCTTGGTTTAATGCGGTAAATAGATCATAAAGACACAAACATATAATTTGCACTTTCAATATGTATTACTGGTTATTTTTTCTTTGAAAAATTACACAGTTTAATATTTCTACATTACCATATTTTATACCTATTTAATAACATTCTCCATTTACTTAATAAGGTTTAAGTAAGATTTAATAACATACCTTGCTCCAAAAGGAATGTATGGCCGTTGTCACCACATAAAAGTTCACATCCTCTTTGACTGCAGTGTACCATAACTGAAAAAAGTAAAAATATATCATTTATTATTTGTATACAGTGTGACCCGTTTGTTTGCGGCTCACCCCTGTAAAATCTTTATGTATTGTGCGATTTTAATAGGATTTGTTTTAAAGTGTATATCTTGATAAACTGTTTTTTTGGAGCGAAAAACACCATATTTTTACAAAATACAAGGCCCACTATGTCAGTTTTTGAAAATAATTTTTTAAGAATTCATATATATAATATAGAATAATATAATAATAAGAAATCCCAATAATTAACAATAAATAACATATATACCTATACTATAGGTATATATGTTATTTATTGTTAATTATTGGGATTTCTTTCAAAAAATGGCGAATGCGCCGGGATAAAAATCTTAAAATTCTTTATTCTAATTACAATAATTTTGTCAGAGACGTAGCAGAGCTTCAGATTATGGGGAAACATTTTAATTAAATTTATGATTTAGCCGACTTTTTATTCTGAAAATGTAAAGAAATAATTTTTTAAATTAAAAATTCTAGACTCATTAATATTTATTTGAATTTGCGATCAAATAAATTTGTCTGAAGTTCAATGGCGTAGTTTTTTTCGCCCGGTGCAAAAAATAATCCACTATACAAAATCCGTCAAATGTATGTAATTTTTTAAAACTTAAGCTCAATTTAACGAAAACCGTAAAACTTTTTCTGTTAACTATCAATTTTATTGACGCTGGAATCGCTCAAAAATGTAAATTCATAACTCTGTATTTAAAAAATGTATGAACGATTAACAAAATTTTACAAAATCCATAAACATGACGATAATGACTCAAATTTCTCTTCAAGTCTACTTTCCCGACTGCAAAATTTCACTGACATAATTAACTTTACTTTAGCAGCATCAAAATATTGTAAGTTTGTGACTAAATTTTTTTCCGATTCCAAAATAAATTAGTCTACTACTCTTCAAACTTATTAGTTGTTAGTTGGCATTAGCTGCAGCTGCAGTCGGCATTGGACAGCAGCTAATACAAAATTTAACTCTGGAACGGGTAGAGGGGTGAATCACCACGGGTGATCCTCCCCTTTACCCAACCCTTACTACGTCCCCAGATAAAGATATATTCGTAGACAATTTTTTAACGTCAAAAACTCATATCGGAATAAGAAATTGGAAAGATTTGAAATAATGTTTTTTATTTTTTAGTATAAAAAACAATATGTCAAAGATTAAACCACAAATAGGTATTTTCATTTTAAATTGTACAAGAAAAATAATGTTTGTTTATTGATAACAATATGAGTTAATATTAATTATAAAAACTGCGAGCAAGGTAACAGGGTAATAACAAATACAATAAATTAACAACAATTGTAAAGTGATCTTTATATATTAAGGATATATAATTTTAAATAAAGATTAAAAACAAATAGTCTAAAGCCGATTTAAAAATAAACAATTAAATAAACAATTTAAATATTTTTTACACAAACTGTGCTTGTTTGACTGGTTTGCATAAACTCGTTATGTGTAGATGTAGTTTAAAAGTTAAACGATCTAAAGCACAAAAATTTTTCGTTTGTAATTTAAAAAGAAAAAATGATTTGTGAAAAAATTGAAACAGAAATTGCAATTTGTTGTGTTGATAACTTAAAAACTTTTTGAGTTTTTATAAACCTGGATGATTTAAAATTTCCCTGCCCAAAAATATACCAAATAAGAAATATTCTTACTATTACTATTCAGGAAGATAAGTTTTAAAAATTTCAAATGGCGAATGCGTCGGGGTTAATTTGATATTTTAAAATTAGAAACCACTTTTATTAAATTAAAATAAATTATTAAATTACTTAAATTAAAGTAGGTTCAATAACAATTGAAGACCTACATTCAACCATTTTAAATTAGATAACAATTTTCGAATCAAAACATAAATTGCAAAATCTCGCGAATAATCATTAAGAAGTTAAACCAAACAAAATGTAATGATTAAGCAACAATGTTTCTAAAAATCTAAAATACTATAACCACGTTTATTAAACAAACGTTAGTTATTTATGCCTTTTTAAGTAAGTCTTTTTGTGCCAAGCTCAAGTTAAAGCAAAACCTAAAAAAATATTTATTATCCGAATGGCTTATAACATTTAATCTTTTATTTACATTATATACATTAAGTGTACAATTATAATAATTAATATTAAAACTAGAAAGTGAGGTTTTTTTCATCCTAAGAGATTCGTTTAAATTATTTTAACAGCCCAGGCGATTATCACTTAGTGAGTCTCAATAATAAAATTAAAATAATACACCGCTTGAAGATAAAATAAATTATGTATTTTACTTATTTTGTAAATTTTGTTATCCATCATGTTTTTATAACTTAATTGCTTCATAATCAATGTTTGGTAAACATTTGAAAATTGCAGAAAATTTGTTGATAACATTGTAAATTATTAAAAAAGTGTGCAATACTCGCTAAAGATAAATTGCCTACATATATAATTTTATGGACATACTATTCTACTAACCGTGCGTCAAAAATGGGCAAAGTACCAATTAATTATTTTAATTAAATCCTAGATCCAGTTTTATCCGGATCAGTTTTATAATGTTAACCGACTTTTAATTGCAATTTAATTAAAAATGAAAGTATTAATCGATTGGTTTTAAATATAAACGAGTTGTGCCTTATATTTAACATAAATGTTATCTATCATATCTCGTTTTTTAATGATTTACATTAAAATTTTCCAGTAGGAAAAATGTTAATTGAGTTGAGTTGGTGTAATAAAAAAGTATGATGAAAAAGTTGTCAGTGATTACGTATTTGGTAGTATAAGTGGGGTTTAGGAAGTGGATTTAAAATTAATACGTTTATCAAAATCGGCATAATTTTTTGTATTTAATTTATTCATTTTAAAGCTATATTTTAAATATCTATCTGATTATTATAACTTTGGTAATTTATAGACAATATATATCTTTTATATAAAAAAAATAAAAATAAAAATATTTAAAAATTCAGAAAACTGTTTATCAAAAAAGAAAATGTATTATTATAGTTGAAATTGGCATCCAAAAATTATAATATTTTTACTATTTGCTTTTAAACCACAGAGGCTGGATATTTTTTAAATAAAGATTTATATTTATATAAAATCACCCTGAACATTATATAAAAATAAAAATGTACTATTATTAATTGAAATATTTATTTAATTATTATCAGTTTTTTAATACTCCAGCTTTATTAATAGATTATCAAAATATAAACTATAATTTAATTACATATTAGTTTGTAGAGAATGCTTAAAAACTCAACTATAGGTAAAATAGGCATAAAAAAATGTTTTTTATTATTATAATATTTTTAGTATTTGACTTGCATAGTGGCGGAATTAAAACACCTTGTACATTTAAAAAATAATTAAAAATAAAAATTGGAATATTTATTTGTTATCACTGATAATTCACTACAAGTCACTACACGCAAAAAATAAAATAATAGAAAAAATATTGTTAGCTTACGCAATTACTTACACGTGGGTTGTAAAATATTATTAACATTTATATGTTTTTCTATTTAACCACAAAATTCTTAAGAATAATTAGTTAAATTTCATTTTAAAACTATTATTATACAAAATTAGCAACAATAGAAAATACTTTATAATCTTGATGTAAATATATTTTAAGAAAGTATAAATTATTAGGGATTTATAAAACTTATAAGTTTGTTTAGTAAGCTGGTTGATTGTTTTGAAAACAAATAAAATGGGGTACCTGAGGTTAACATGGTTGACAGATTTATATTATGAGAAATCGTGTAAAAAATACTTTCGTTAAAATAAAGCAAATACATTTAAAAAATTAAATCCCTTATAATTAACTACAAGATATTAGTACTAGTTTTAAAAGTTTGACACAACATTTTTGACACCTGTTATGATTCGGATCAATTAAACTGTATAATGAAATATATTTTTTTGTGCAATATCCAGTATAAAAACACACAAAGTTATAGAAACCATACTTTACTTACTTGATATCAAATTAGCCATGGTTCCACTGGCAACAAAAACGGCATCTTCTTTACCCAATAATTCCGCGGCACGTTGCTCTAGTAACGCCACCGTGGGGTCTTCCCCGTATCCATCATCGCCTACTTCAGCGTTAAACATCGCCTCCCTCATTTCTGGAGTCGGTTTACTGATCGTATCACTTCTTAAGTCGATTATCTGGACATCGCTGCCGTTGGTCTCGAAATTAATTTTCTCATACATGTTAACAAGATTTTTCTCTTAACTTTGTTCTTCTTAAGTTGTTGTTAAACTGTTAAAGTTTTGGCAAAGAATGACAAGTCAATTAGTATTGTCGTTTTTATGTACACAGCCCACTCCTCCGTTCGTTATTTCATAATAACGCGCGATTCCTTTACACTGTAAAGCAAAAAAAAGTTGATAATACGCTGCCTTGGATACACGAATCTCGAATATCAATAAACAATAACATGTAGTTAACAAACAAGATTTATTAGTTTTGTTTTCGATCGGTAAAATTTGTGAATATTTTTTCTCAGTTCTATTGTTGAGTCAATGCACAGAACATAAGTCAATGGTCCTATATTATAAAACACGTGCAAAAGTGGGATAATTATAGTTGGCCAGATCGTGCCTTAGTTATGCAACCAAGTTTGCTGTCTTTCTATAGAAGTTTTTAATAACCTGTAAAATAATAATTATTAAATTAATATCTTTTTGTTTAGAGCGCCCTTTAAGCACCCGTGCACCTTTGGTACAACATAATTTAATTGTTTTGTTATGTATTTGTAAATTTATTTAAATAAATGTTTTGGAATTTGGAAATTTTATTGTCTTTCAAGGTCCTGGTGTTAGTTAAACTTCAGGCCAGTATAAAAAAAATTTAAAAAAAAACTGAGTCAACTGTAGAAGATCTCTTATAAAACGAATTCGTTTTAACCGAAGCCAAAAATTAACCATTTTATTTTTATAACAATATTGCCTTAAAAATATGGGAAAAATTATCCAATTATCTTCTAAAAGGAAAATTTTCCACCAATTTTATTTTAAAAAATAACAAACTAAAATCTTTGCCCTCTTATAATTGACGTAGTATTTACCAATTGTGTAAAATTTATAATCATAATTCTTTTTGGTTTTAAAACAAAAGCATGATTAGCGCAATTTCATAACAAATAGATCAATGTTATTAAAAACAAATAAAACAAAACTTGTACTTGATACTATTTTTATTAGCCATGAGACTTTTCTACATTTTAGTTAAAAATCACAAAAAATATATTACAAACACGCAAATAAAATCCACATTGCTACCTATTGTCATTGAGTTGATTCAAATAATTACAAATGAAATAAATTAAATTTTTTCACATCAAATTCGTTATGTGTGATGTACAACTTAAAAACTTAGACTTAATATTAGGGTAAAATAATACGTACTTAGTTGTAAAATAAGCGTCTCCTGAATTGTTTACCTACTTACATTAGATTGTATTATTTATTATAGTAATTGTTGAGATCCAAAATCAAAAATGAAAACTAAAATGCCAAACTAAGAAAAATAAAAAAAGATTAGGCCTTTTTAACCCAGTCAGTTTTCCAAAACCGTGATTTTTTTCGTAGATGAATGCCTAAAATAACTGGGATACTTACATTATGGTGTTGATTTAAATAAAATGCAACCGTTTTAAACTTAAATATTAACTTATAGCAACTGCCTTAAACTAACCATAAAAATTCTTTGGTTTCAAACTTAATAAAAATTACCTGCAGAATACATTTAATAGTTAACTTTTTTTACTTAGTTTGGCAGTGTGTAGTGATTTTCTTCTCAAATTTAAAATAGATTTAATTTGGTTTATCTGTGGAATGTTGGGAGCTTTACAAATTAATAAACTGTAGCCTACATTGGCTATTTTATAAATTAAATCTGATTTAAATTAAGTAGAAATACCCCAGCCACTGTGAGTTTTTTAGCCAAAACATTATTAAGCCTTATTTTATATATTTAAAGATTGTGTTACACAATGTGTGTAACAGTTGCAATAAATACAGGAAGACATTCATATATTTGGATTTTGAAAATTGATAAAAGTATGTGGAATAATTGTTCTACCCTGTATGTTTTTTAATTCATTTTGTAATAGCAAAAATATTAATCTTTAAGGTGAAAAAAATTATACACAAAAGGCAAAACTTTTCGGTCAAAATCTTGGGCTCACCAATTGCACTTAAAACTAAAAGTAAAAAAAATATTTTTCTAGAAGTAATTCTTGTTTATGAAATTTGTAATTTTTATAACTGAAATCGCAATTATCTCTAAAACTTTATGCGATAAATGAAAAAAGTTTTTTGTAGAGAATTAAGTTTGCTAACAAATTTAGTTTAATAAAAAATCATAAAAAATAGTTTTTTACTTTCAATTTTAAGTGCCAATGGCACATCATTTTTTTGCCTCAAAGATTAATATTTTTGCTATTACCAAATTAATTTCGAAAAAAACGGATATTCGACCCACTATATTGTAGTGGCGGACACGGAATTTTGAACGACCAATGGTCGTCGACCATCATCCCGTCGATATCAAAATCTGAACTTCCCATATGGAAAACTAACCTTACTTCCGGTTATCACTATTATTGTCATTTTGACAGCGAAAGCAAAAATGGTCAATGTATCTTTGCTATTTACAGATTTATACATGGACATATGACGTTAAAAATTCCGTGTCCACCACTGTACATATTGAATTCAAACTTTTAACGCAATCTAAAGAGGTAAAATGTCAACAACAAATATTATTTTGTCAGAAAAACCTAAGGTGACTGGGCTAAAATCCTGCCAAGATTCAAGCTAAGGCATGGTTTTCTATCATTTAAAAAAATATTCAATACTAATAATATACAAGAACCTTATTATGGACAAAACCTTATAGCATCTAGCCTAAGTAATAGTGTATAATAAAATTATTACTTTCTATATGTATCCTACCAAAAAAATAAATATTAACATGGTGTTTTAATATTGCCAATAAATTAATTAGTATTAAATATACTACCAAAAAAAAAAAAGATTTAAGTAATCAAAATATGAAAATATTAAATGACGCACAACCTACATCTTGTGGATTGTAAAATAACGCGTATGGCTTATAATTATGACGTACAAATTAAGCAATTATTAAAAAGATTGTTTTAAAAGAAAACAAACTAAGAAACGTTTAATATTAATTAATTTATGTCAATAATTTACTAAAAACAAAATTTAGACACCTAAAATCACATGGTTAAAAAATTATATGACAATTTGTTTAAAACTATCAATAAACAAAATCATTACATGACTTGCAAGTTCAGATGTTATAAACTTTATAATGATTAGTTTTTTTACAAGAAATATGAGTTTATTTTGAATTAAATATATTATTATCATGATAAGTAATTTGTAGAGGGGATCAAATATCCGGTTTTTTTCGAAATTGATTTGGTAGTAGCAAAAATATAAATCTTTAAGGTAAAAAAATATGTGCAAAGGGAAAAAAATCTTAGGCTCTGCGAAGGGCACTGAAAATTGAAAGTAAATATTAATATTTTTACTTATGAGTAATTTTTTTTTATAAATTGCGTTGAAAAATGTAATTTCCTACAAAAAGGCCCCTATCGTAATTTCAGAGATAATTGCGATTTTATATAAAAATTGTCGTTTTTTTTAAGTTACTTATTTTAAACGTAAACATTTTTTTATAGAATTGTTAGAAAATTAAATTTAATTGAATTATCCACAAAAAACTCATTATCATGTGAAAATTTTTGAACTAGAGATAATCGCGACATTATCTCATAATCAAAATAGACAAAATTTACAATACAATTTTTTTGTTACTTTTAATAATAACCTTTTTCTAGAAAACTAAATTTATTAACAAAATTCGAAAATAATAAAAAAAATTATTCGTAAAATTAAATCGCTATATTTTCTGAAATTACAATATTTACGTCAAAATTGAACCTTTTTGTAGACTAACAAACTGTGTTTAGGGACAAAAATATTCTGTTACTTTCAGTTTTAAGTGCCATTGGCAAGCCGAAGTTGTTGACCAAAATATTTCCCCCTTGCACATAACTTTTTTTAAAGTTAAAAATTAATTTGTTTGCCATTACCAAATAAATATCGAAAATAGGATATTCGACCCACTCGAATTTTAGTTGAAAGGAAACTAAAAATTATATAAAAATAGTAGTTTTCTCAAACGAATTTAAAATAAATTTAAAAAATTGTTTAATCTTACTAGTAGAATAATCTCTAATTTTATCACCATGCCCCAAAACTATTTAAGCCGCATTCATGAAAAATCGGATCCATATAATGTAGTTTTAATATAAAAGCTAAAAACTGTTTAAGTAAATTAACAATGTATTAATTAAACTTTCGATATTTAGGTTCTGATTACTATGGGATACCTCCGATTTTAAACGATTCTGAGCACTGCAGGTAAAAGAAACTATCAATATCATTACAAAACCGTATCAAACTCAATTTTGACCAAAAGAGGACATGTCTGATTTTGCATATACACTCCTCATTTTATATGCTTAATGCACATAAAATATCAAATTTTATCAAATAAGATGCGCACAACCACTATAATCTTGTTACTTGAAAGTTTTAAACATAGTATCCCTAAATCATAAATAAAAAAAATATGTGCTACAAGTTAAAAAAACAAAAACGTACACACCTAGATGCCTAGTTAATAATTAATAATCGTCTTGAGCTATGAACACCTAACTAAAAATCACCGCGTTAGTAGTGTATACTATTGACGATAGACGGCCGGCATGGGTATACTATTGGCCAGAGCCGCCATAGGCGCGACCTGATTGGCCGATTTCACGTAATCGCCGATCATGAGATTGGCGCTCACTGGATAATTGGACATCATCGACAGTTGAGTCTGCTGCGCATTTTGGTGGTTAGGCGATGTAAACAACGACGGAGAGATGGCGCCACCGATCAGCTGCGCAGTGTGTGTCGAAGTGGGGCTGGCAGCTACGCGTCCGCGCCCGGTGCTGGGTATGCAACCGGGGTGTATGTTGGGTTGCTGACCGGCGTCTCCAGGCAGATGAGCAGGATCCACCATGGCTATGAGATTGTTCGCCATCAGATTATTGTTGATTAGGGTTTGTGTGGTGTCCATGGCCACGTCTCCAATACCGTTCACCATGGAGACGTTGCGCATGCCTTGATCCATGGTGCTCCAGTAGTTTTCGGAAGGTGATACGCTGGCGACACCCGGCGGAGGCTGTACAGGGGCCCCTGTGTACCTAAAGTACGGGTTTTTTAAATCAAGAGTATTCTTGGAGCACTGTGTTGTGCCATCCACAGATAATTCTATGGTAACATCATAACTTTGCCTTTTGTTTGCCACTAAAACCACCCTTCCTGATAAAATCTGTGATTGTTTTACTAAAATGGGTTGTTCTAACAAACATCTTACTTGATACCAATGAGTTAGAGGTTCTGTGGGTGCTGTGCTCAACCATATTGTTTGGTTTGAGCCTGCAAAGGCTACGTCAAACCAAAAGGCCAGACCATGGCATGTACCTGAATCAATAATGTGAAATTCTAAAGGTATGTCAATAGTGTGTAAATCAGTCTCGTCAGCTTGTAGAAAATCAACTACATGTCTTATGGATTTGCTCATGCATATTCTAATATCAAATGTGTCTACAATGGGTTGGCGGAAGTATTCTTTGACAGCACAATTTTGCAAGGCTGACAAGTTGACACCATGGAAGCAAGTTTGAAACCAGAAATTGGCTTTACTGTATTGCTCCATGTATAAAGCATCATCTGTAAAAGGGGCTATGTGAAGATCACCTCGAGAAGGAAACATTTTACCACCGGGAGCCAACCAACGCTTGGCATTTAAATAGGACTCCAACATTCTTTCATTGTACAGCATATAACCCATGGGCTCACTTATTATAACATCAACTTTCTCTGGAATATCAATTTCTTCAACTTTGCCTGCTATGACTTTAATACAGTCTTGCAGGTTATTAGCTTCCACTAACTTTTGTGCATAGTGGGCCATAGTTGAAGCTTCTACAGCATAAATTCTCTTAGCCCCAGCTTGGGCAGCAAAAAACGATAAAATCCCTGAACCTGCTCCTACATCCAGAACAATTTTATCCTTAAAGTCTGACAAATTCCCCAATATTGCTCTTTGGTAAGTGAAAGTCCTAACAAAATCCTGCAACATGTTTTGTTGCTGTGATAAATATCCATAGAATTGAAAGTATTGTGTAGCTGAGGAGTCTTCGGTTCTCACGGAAAACACTGAGGCATCTTTCCCTGATTTCACCTTTGTTATTGCTACACAAAAACTTCTAGCGTCCTCCCTATTATTAAACTTAACTAACAAAGACTCGTTGTCGATTGTAAATATGTAAGATTTAGGTCCTACTTTACAGCATTCTGTACTACTATCCACTGGCAGCTCAATCAAATGTGTTTCTTCCAAATCAAAGAAATTGATACTAATACCTTGTGGGTCATAGTCCGCTCTCAGTTTTACTTTTCTGTTATACTTGGGCACCGTTTGATTTTCGTCTGTTACGTTAAATACCTCAACCTCCCATACTTTAAGCGCCATTTCGTATTTTCACTTATTTACACTTAAATTGTCTTAAAATTATCACTTTTTTTATTGGCTAGTTGACTTAACCCGTAAGCACTATTATTCAGTTCAAAGTCTCTTTTAATTGTTGTTACTTTATTATTTAACCCACGTTTTTGTTACACTGTCAAATTTACGCATCATGCATTGGCAGAAATAAAGCGCAAACTCAACATCGAATCACACTTCATCGATACCGGCATTTAAATACATATAATTTATATCCCCGCTGAAATAAATTAAACACTTAATAAATTAAATAAACGTTAAGTATTCAGTTAGGGAAATGATAAAATAACTTTAGTTAAGTTAAAACTCTTGATAATTTTTACAATTTAATGTTCGATGTAGGCGTAATCGATGTATTTCTAATTTTGCGCAATACCAACCTAAGGAAATAAAAACAACTTTTGTTCATTTAACAAATATGCTTTTGTTTAACAGCTGCGCGGTTGGTATTGGCTGTCAAGAAAATTATTTCGTGAAATCATTAAGAAAACATCGTAAATAGTAATTAAAGCGTTAATAATCACATGCAACGCTCAAACAACACTGACAATGACACAGAATAGGTAAGATGTATCCAATGTTAACACGCCTCATATCTCAAGTTGTGATGAATTTGATGAAAATGAAATGTTAAATAATATTTTAGGAAACGTGGGCGAAATCTACAAGAAGATGAGGTAGAATTTATGCCACTGTCCAAAAGAATAAATAATCTACACATAAACAATAGGAATATGTTAATAAATGGACAGACTTCAGCTATGGGCAACATAGAATGGGGCCCAGGTCCTCCAAATGGTTCAAGTCAATTGCCAGAAAGCCCCCCAAATTCAGTACAAAGCCTTGATTGGAACAATCAGCCCCAATACACTCCAGATTTAACAGAAACTGAAAATCCACATTATTTTAATGCCAATAAACTGTTATTCGAAATGTATGTTGAAAGATTACAAAGAGGATGTGATTAAAAAGCATCTGTGTGATGACTTCACTGCCACTTAATTTATGTCTTATATTTTAAATGGTACCATTAAGCATTTACTTTTACCAATGTTATTTTATTAGTGTAGTTATTTATATTTTATTATATGCACTATTATTATAACTTAAGTTAGGTTTTTGATTTGAAGTGAAATGATAAGAGACTTATTGGAAATAAATTAAGCCATTTAATTAAAAATTAAAGTTATAGGTACTTTCTATGTGATGAGAAAAAAATTAATATTAGAGTTAATTTTTCGTATAGGTATTTATATTATGTGATATAGATATTCTTTGAAATATTTATGTTATCAATTACTTTAAGTAAGCTTGGTATATTAACTTTGTGACTATTTTATAATAAATTCTAAAACCAAAAGGTTATTTTTTACTTGAAATGTTGATTTTACAAATTCCTAATAGGTGGATAAATTTATAATGAAAGGTTACTTAATTTGATTTCTTAAAATTTGTGAAATTATAATAATAATAATATCTTTATTTACGGTTAAACCATTACAATCTTTAACTTTAACATTTTAATCTTTAATATTAAAAATATGTAAAATCATATTTTTTCATTATTTCTTTAGAACAAACTTTATTTTAAAATAAATCAAAATATTTATTTTAAATTAGAAAAAATTACCTATAATAACACTAAAACATAACAGCCCTAATACATATATATAGGCATATGCCTATATTTTACAAGAAGAAAAAAATAATGTTTTTAAAATAATTAAAAAAATTATTACAAATATAAATAAATTTTAAAGAACTATCCATATTGCAATAATGATAGGTATTTAAAAATTATTTTTTTGTAATGATTTTGTTAGTAAAAAAAATACAAAAAAAATTATATTATACATAATATGTATTTGTGTATATATAATATATATATACTGGTCACTTTAATATTATATACATATATATAAATCTTTTAAGAATTCTTAAAAGATTTATATAAAAAAACATCCCCTTTGGGATATTAATATCCCAAAGGGGATGTTTTTTCTTCTGTAAAATTTTAACGAGAATACCATAAAAAATGTTATCAATCAATTCCAAATCAAGGTAGGCTAAATAAACTGTAAAAATCGTGTTAAATGTCTTCCCAAAGTTTTGTAGTTTGTTGGCGCGAAAATTCGAAAAACTAACTGTTTCTGCACCGCCATCTATGATTAAAAATGCGCACAAACTTGGCAAGCAGAACAACTCTGCTGGCGGACATGAACTCAATTGATGACGAAGTAAGTGCTTAAGAGAAGTGATAGAAGTGATTTTGGCTGTATTTCACCTGTTTAATCGGAGGTAAGTCCTTTAATTCGATCAAAATATGTGTTAGATTGCGTACAGGGTGACGATGTGTGCTCCAGGAGATTTCTCGAACGATTTCGCGGGCCGCGGGTGATTTTGGGGTAGGGAGCTTCGTCGCTCTGAAGTAGAATTTGTGGAAGGGGTGCTCATAGTGTATTCTGGTAGGATAAATTCATCCCCACATTCTTCCAACCAAACCACCACTACTTCCCTCCTCCACGTTAGACAGCATCGTCATCGTCATAGGCACAAATTCGCTTCCACGGCTTTGGACATTTTGCCTCAAGGTCGATAACCTAACGGAACTTGCTCGAAAATGTCACCGTCCATCTTATTTTACGATGCTTTTTTGTTTTAAACATCATTAAGTAGCCTGCGAGTGCGTCAAATGTTATTTAGCTGCGTAACTGCGTAGTAGCGCTTGGAATAATAACATTTTATAAACAATATGTAGCTGAAAATCGCGATTCTTTTTTATTTTAAAGCTTCATACCCGATTACCTGCTTGCATTCAATAAAAACATCTGCCTTCCTTGTATCGAGGGAGTTATTCATGGCAAAACGATTTTTATTACCGTTACGTAACCAAACTATTTTATCTATGAATTATTGATTTATCGACTATATTCGCACGTATAAAATTGTTTTTAGCCTTTCCAAACGTTTTTCAAATGTTAAATTTATTGCAAAACCTTGTTGATCACCTTGGTTTTAAAATAATTCTTAAATGCAACCTATTTCAAATAGGCTATTTGTATTAAATAGGTATAAGTACAAATAACACTTTATTCTGTAGGATTATTTTTAACGCGAATTACGTATACCTATTTGGCATGTGTTTAGATATGAGATGAATAATAAACCTACTTTATTTATCTAAAGAACGTCGGGTGAAAGTATAGGTAGTTCGTATCCGAAGAAGTAGGTAACCAGGCTGGCAATCCCCCACGTTTTAGATTTCTCTAGTTCCGTCTTTGTCTTACCTCTTTTTACACTGGCCGACAAAAATTGGTAACGTTTATTGAATAGGTATGTAGGATGGACATGCCAAAAAAATTAATTAATTGGGGTACCTATTCGGCATTTTCGTTTAAATCTATATTTAAGTTTTTTGAGACGAATAATTTTTATTATTAATATTATTATTAAAATTTAGCACTACCCTATTGGTTAAAATTTTTTACAAGCGTTAAATAATTAAATTATTAAATTATAGGGGCGCAGTTAAATCTTTGAATCAAATATTCAATTTAATTACTTTCAAAAAAATTAAATAAACAAATCCATTTACACTGTATAAATAAATAAAAATAAATAATAAAAAATTACCCCTTTTTTATAAATTTACTTCAGGTGTGCTGCTAGATATTTTAAGTTTTTTATGTTAAGCAAGATTTATAACAAATACCTATTTTATGTATAAGTAAAGGCTCTTCCTAAACTGCATTTAATATAATAAGGTTTAAACATTAAAACATGTACCTACTTAACAACTTTTCAAATTCAAAATTATTTTATCTATCTACTTATGGCCAATACTGTATATTATAAAATATTTAATATTTTGTATGCCCTGTTAGTTACATCTAAGACAACTTTTGAACACTGTTATACGCATGAATTTGTTTTGTAATTCCTGATAAGACATAACACTGATAGTTTTATATTATACATGGAAGATTGGTTCTATAGATATATGTATCTATAGCAAATATACATGACAGAAACCGAATTTTGAACAATTAAAGAACCAAAACAATTATGGCGCAAGGAGTTTAAGTAGGGTTGCCAGATTCTGTAAAAACAATAAAGCACATTTTATGTAAATTTACCTTAATTACAAAAATGATACAATCATACAAGCTACGAACTGAATTATACCTACTTTTACTTGATGCTTGGAGTAAATTAATGCATTCCCTAGTAATTGTACGCATTTACTAATTTTGCACTTTTACCAATTTTTTACGTACCTACATGTATACACTAGCTAGTTTTTAACATTTATTGAAATGTATAGGTAGGTAGGTACTTTGACTGTGATACTTATACAAATGGTCTCGCAAAATAAGAGGGCGCTGGTGATCTGTTTGTTTGGTTAACAGTTGTCAAATGTCATACAATCGTCAAAATAAAGCGACTATAACATAATATGTATATATATTATATGATATACCTATTCAATAATAAGATTAATACTTACTAGTTAAATTAGGGAAAACGACGAAAACGCTACAGTGTAGTACTTCGAGTCTCTTGCACATGTCCGAGAATTGAACTAATAAGGAACGTTAACCTGTTCTTCAATTAGTTCAATTAAATTCTCTAACATGCGCATTGGACTCGAAGTACCTACTATACACTTATATGGACTCTAATGATCTTTGGATGAGGTAAGAAACGTCTGACAAATTTTATTTATTTATTTTTGAAAATTATTTGTTATATAAGTATATAAACTTCTCTAGACACCGGTTTATTAAACACTCGCTACGCAAGTTACGCTCGTGCCTAATTAAAACTAAAAGGACATTTATGAAACTTGTTGCAGAATATACTATTTAAAAGCTGAATAAATAATATTTTCACTTAAAAATATATTGATACAAATTATACAGAAATAATAATTTTGAAATATCTAATAATAGTACCTACGTTATTATGGGAAATCAATCAAAAATAAAAAACCTAAAATTAAATTGCCAAAATTAAAAAAAGGTTAAAACTAGAAAAACCTACAACCATGTTTACAGTCATTTATATTTATTTTTTAATGTTATTCAAAAATTAAAATTGCAATACCAAAATTTTATTAAAATTATATTTTTATATTTCTATATCATAGTAAGCACGATACGCATTTTCCTTTTGTACTGTCTCCATGGCAACAGTACGATACGCAAATTTAATTTATAATTTTGGCAAATACAAAAAATAGTATAAAGAACTCATGTCATAAGACTTTTTCTCGCACTCGTCTATTACAAAACTTGCTCTTTCGTGGCTTGTTTTGGAAATTGTCCTCGTCCGAAAAAATTACGTCTTAGTTCTATAAAATACTATTATCTACTTCTACATTGAAGAGCGAATCTGTGGCGTTTCAGTTACAGATGTAAAATAAATAAAAAATTGGCTTTAATTTTTTCTTTGTGTTCGTCGTAGATAAAGTATGGTATGCAATCGTTTTATAAACTTCTCTAGACACTTGTTTTATTAAACACTCGCTCGCAAGCTTCGGTCGTGTCTAATAAAACTCTTAATTTAAATGGCGTTTATAAAACTTGATACATAATATACTATTATTACTTATTCTTACAAACGCCTCTTACTTATAATAATTAAAGGTATTATAATTATAAACAAGAGGCCTTTCTTAAATGTATAGTAACTTTTATTTAAATCGCTCTGCTGAAAATCCGCCGTTTAACCTGACATCACGAAGTTAACTTTGAATAAAAAACCGTTTTTTATTCAAAGGAAGTTAATGACTCCCCCCCTCGTCAAAAATCGTCCCCTTCCTCGTAAAGCGTGACGTCACATACAAAAAGAAAATTTGATAAACCATAAAAAGCAAAAAAAATACAAAAAGTTTCCTAATAATGAAATCAAATTCAATTGGGGATACACATTTATTAATGAATGTTTTTGTTTTGTTTTAATATTATATATTTTTTCTATAATTTATAAATATGATTTTGGAATGTATAGTACCTATGTAAAATTTTATATTACCTAAACAAATAAATGTTAAAATCTTTGATTTAATATTTTCTGTATGGATTTAGTATAATTTGTATCGTCTTATGTCTGGACATCCCTGTCCTAGCCCCCTGTAATCAAATAGTCAAATAGTTGACCCACTCCCACCCTCTCCTCGATTACATAACCTGTACCCGCGATGCATTTTCTACGTCAAGCAGCGTATAAACCTCCGTTTACAAACCGTTAAACAGAGACGGCCTAGAGCATCACGTGACGCCGTTTTCTAAACGCGTACCCCACTTGCGACCCGCTGCAAAAGAGTGGCACCGCACTCTAACGTACGCGTACCACTCTGCGGTCGCAGCGAAAAACCTCCAACCCAACTCTTTTGCTTACCACCGCACACGCACCCCCTACCTACCGAACAAATTTGGGGGGTACGATATTATTTGATCAAGGGCGTAGCTGTCAAAATTTTTCCGAAAGTTTTCACCGTTAAGAAAATTGGCTGTGATTGTGATATTAATTATTTATGTTTGGTGCAATATTTTTTGTGATACTTGTGACCTAGTTTAAGGTAAAGTAAATTTTTTATTTGGTACTATTTATATTTAGGTAACGTGTTATCAATATAAAGGTAGGGGTGAAATAGAGGGGGTAGTATCATGTAACCAATAATACTGCTCTATTCTCGACATTTAAATCGTAATAGCAATAATTTAGTAAACGTCAAATCTTGTACTATTAATAACATTGTATTTAAATTTTTTTATCCGCCACTTTCACATTTGATTATTTTACACATTATATAGGTAGCACATGAAATTGTGAAGAAATTGAGTTCAATAACCTCTTCAGTGGGTTGAGCGGTCCTCAATGGTACCTACATTTTTAACTACCGCATCAGATTTTGATCTCGCCTTACCAAAAAAGCGTCTTGATATAACAGTTGTTTACGCCGATACAATTTTTTATTTATAGAACAAATAATTTTTACGGTTGATGATTTCGGTAAATTTAGTTATTTGTATTCAAGAACTGTAAAAGTTGGATTTCTAACTAGTTTTAATAACGGTTCCAATTATTTGTACTTGTCTAATTTTATATGTTAAAGAAATTTTATTATTAGGATTTAGGTATATGTACCTAAAAAAAAACTATAGTTTTTCCAAAGTTATAAAATTTTGCAATAACGATAATTTTGCAACAATGACTCATTGAAGAGGAGTATTTTCAATAATAAATGCAAAGAGTGAAAGGTAAATGTCAAGAATAGTAATAATACCCTTTTT